TTTTTTTTTGGCTGTGTTATCAGAGCTGAATTTCTCATTAGATGCCCTCCAATTGCCAATGTGCCTACCAAGGGGACTCAACATGTCACTTTTATTTTGTGCAATTAGTAATCCATTATAAATGCTTTAACACAGCAGGGTAAAACATTCCAGGTGCAGCTATGCCTTGTGTTTTGTGTTCACTTGTGTTGCGCCAACTTTGTTCAAACTTTAGGGACCGCCCCTCATCAGAGCCACTCACTTGACATGTGGGACTGTTCTCTGGCAAGTCTCTTGGTGTTTAAGGTAGCGGTGACTCACTTCAGTTCTGCTCTACATGTCATTTTAAAGCTCTGGGAAACAAGATCTTTCCCATTGACAAGAAAACAAAAAGCTACAGTTACAGCTAAAAGCTGTGCTTTGAGTTTTGCTGAACGAGTGCAATTATCTGTTTTGTTTTGAGAAAAGAGCAGAACTTCAAATGAAGATCAGTATGCACTTTGTCTAGATATAAAGGCAGATCTCACTGCTGTAGGAGCATTGCAGCGAGTGACTGCATCTGAGGATAAATTCTGAAGATGCGAGGTCTTGATGATCAGTCCTGATGTGTTTACTATCAGTTACTTTACGACCATCAAATAAGAATCAAGGTTGCATCTTCCATTTGTGAAGGGAATGATGGATTCTTTGTGTGGAGTACAAACTGGAGAGGAGGAGGGTGTATCAAGTATAAAGGCCTGGAATTGATGAAAAACCTGGATAGTTTAGATACACGCAATAATCCATGGATATTTAATCTGGTGGAGGGCTACTTGGAGTATCAAATGATGTGCATTTTATCGATTAAAGTTCAATCTGATTTATATGGATTAAAGAGGACAGTAGCATTGGACAATAAAACTTAATAACTTTACTTTACTACTTAAATTAGCTGTAGATGTGTCAGCTAATAGTATCATGGCAAAGTTGTGAGTTCCTTTTTGATTTTGTAACCTTTGGGTCCTTTTCAGGGGCAAAGGAAGACTCCTCAAAGGATGACACAGAGAAGGATGCTGATGACGATGTAGAGATTTCCACTGAGGCCAGGTAAGGAATAAAAATCCAAGTGGCAGCAGTGACGGTATGGCTGAAATGGTGTTTCCTTTCTCTGGAAACATCAACAACTCTATTGGAACCAGCTTAATTGCAAACTGATCTCTGGAATGACTATCTGTGCTTATGTCACCACCAGGAAAAAGACTGACCAACGACAAAGGCGTCTGCTAGATGCAGATCGCTGTGACCTCACATCTGAGTTTTCTACATTTCATTTTTCCCTCCAGTAGAGTTGAACCTGAGGACGAAGAGATTCCACTTGACGACTCTTTAGTCGTTTTGGACAAATGTAAGTGGACGGGCCGCTACGGCGAGTACAATGTGTTACATACACTTGTAAGAGTACGATTTTCTAGGACCACTTCAAAACTAATTCACAACAGAGAATTAATTTCGGAAAAGGTATGGGAATCTATTGTAGCTTGTAGGAGCGCATGGCAAACAGAGTCATGCACACTTTGAAAGAATTCTGTTCTCAAATTTGTTTGCATCTGGTTGCTTTTTAGACAACAGCGACCTGCATCTGAAAATTGCAGCAGATGGCTTGAGTGGAAAACCACTGGAGGATGAAGGGTTTTCTTATCTGCTTTCTGGTGTTAGAGCAACCTGGGGTGTCACCACAGGCAAAGTTTACTTTGAATGCAAGGTAAGGATGTCAACAGAAAGTATGCGAGGGTGGACTGGGGAGTTGGTAACTAGTAGACTTGGAGTGAAGAGATGATAGATGCACCATTTTGAGACATTGGGGGACATTACAATTCACAGAAGTGGTTTTAGTTAAAATTGCAAAGAACTGTACTGTTGTATCAGCAATTCAGTGCCTGTTTTGGTCACCATGGTGAAATTTAAAGAAAATTTTGGTGACCAAACTTAATAATAATAATAATAATAATACGGTATTTATAAAGCGCTATTTCTATCACTATCCAATAGCACTATACAGTAATTTCATAAATCGCACCAATAAAAATTATAAAACCATAAAAATCTCTAAAACATGAGTAGAAGAAACTAGCAAATAAGGTAGTCTGTAATAATGAGAGTAAAAACTTTAAACTTATAATGAAATTAACTAATTTACTAGCCAATTAACTAGCTCACTTGCAGCCTAAGGAGCCAATTTGGCAACCTGTGTAGACAAAGGTCATTATACAATGTCCCAGGGAAGGGCTCTTCACTCTTAAAATATTTCCCCAAAACCAGAAGTACACAATCATGCAAATAGTTTGACGAATTGTCAGGGAAAGCTTATGAAATGCTTAGAGGAACCTGCAGTGGACCAGTATCCCCTCCAAGGTATGAGCAAGGCTCTCATCCTTGCAACATAAATATGGTGCGATACTTGAGTCTCAGCAGTATTTGGTCAATGGATTTTTGTGCAGTACTGGGAGACCTTGAAATAAAAGGTATTTTATTTGCCATTGTCATACAGGTGTCATTTTTGTTTACGTAGGTAACAGCGCTTGCATCTGTAGAACTCCCTGATGCTGAAGATCCCAAGAATGTTGTGAGAATAGGCTGGTCAACTGATTCTGCCAACCTTCAGCTGGGTAAGGTTTTTGTAGAATTTCAAATCAATAAATGCAGATGAGTGGGAGAGGAAGCAGTCAAGATGTTAGATTAGACAGAGGGGTCTAACTTTCAGACCTGGGGCCCATTTCTCAAAAGTCCTGGTAAGGTAACGGGCCCAAAGCCATGGTTTAAAATCAAAATTTGAAGGATAGGAAAGCAGGTTCTGGCACCCAAACCAGTTCTTTTTGTTTCTTTAGCTGATTGGTTTATTGTATCATTTCAAAACTTTGAAGTCCCCATCGTGAATAAAAACACAACAGCTTTACAGGCCCATTAAGGTGCTGGGACTTTTAAGAAACAGGCTCCTAGTGAGGTAATCATTAGTTTGTTCTCAAGAGAATGAACTTTAAATGAATGACTGTTAACCTTTACACCCTAGCAGTAGTAGCCATGCTCTCCATACTCTTCTCTTTACTTTTCTTTTAATGCTGTCAAAGAGAATTTGTTTAACAATCAAGGGTTCTTAGGTCGCAGGGGTCGACACCAACTTTTCAACTTACTAGCCTATTGGCTCATGACAACTTAGATGTTACAACAGTTTCAGTTTGATTACTAGCCAAACTCGCTGATGGAAATCGAAAACCACCAGCCAAAACTGGATTTCTACTTCTAGTCTGTGGCTAGTTGGCTACTGTTAGTGTTGAGCCCTGGGTTGGCAATCATTCTCTTTATTCTCATGGTCTGAATGAGTTCCTCAGCAGTATTGTTGTAAGGAGAAACTAAATGCCGGTCATTCATACGATTAAAAGGGTTCATGATTAAAAAGAGACCTGTCTTATGAACATCATATGGTCAGGCTTGAACTGTGGATACTTAAAAATGTATTTTCTGACATTGTTAGTGTATCAATGACAAGATTTATGTAAGGTGTACAATAATTTTGTTTGTAGATCATTTTTTTGTCACATTGTGTGCAGAATTTTTAGTCGCCCTCTATTTCACAGCCACATGGTTCGTTTTCAAGGTTTAAGAGCCATTTAACTGAAGCTTAAATCCTTTTTTATTTAGGAGAGGACAAGCTTTCATATGGGTATGACTCATCTGGCAAAAAAGTTACAGACTCCGAGTTTGCAGAATATGGGCAAACATTTGGAGCTGAGGATGTGATTGGGTGTTATTTGGTAAGTTGAGCAGGTCAATGCATGGAAGTGTTGGGATACCAATTTTTTTACTTCAGCTGGGGTTCCCAAAAATCTTGGTTTTGCTAGTGGTTTTTTATTTCCATTGTCCACTGGCCAGTGTGGCTAGTAAACAAACTGAAATTGTCATGACATCTTAGTTGTCACTAGCCAATTGGCTAGTAAGTTGAAAAGTTAGTGTTCAGCCCTGCTTGAGGTCACTGCTATTTGCCATGGGTTAGAGCTAGTAACCATGCTCATCAGATTGTGGCATTTTTTATAAAACCTTGTAGATTTATACTGTTGATTACTATGCAATACTTGTCTTTCACACTAAGACATGGGAGTTGCATGTGTAAGGGGGCTCGTGGCAGAGAGCCATACTTTTAGTTAGAAAAATTGGTAACAAACCAACATGCCAAGAAAATTTAAGAGCTTTTGGCTGTTTATTTGTAGGACTTGGAGAGTGAACCTAAGACTATTTCATTCAGCAAGAATGGTGAAGACCTTGGAGTGGCCTATGAACTGACTGATAGTCTGGAAGAGAAGGCTCTTTATCCTCATGTACTGATCAAAAATGCTGAGTTTAGTGTCAACTTTGGATCTCAGGTAAAGATCGTGGTCTTTAAGAAAAGGAAAAGAGATATCTAGCCATTTGAATGTTGGATTTCAATTGGCAACTTAGATCTCAGTTAAAAGTTTACAATTTAACTGGGTGATAAAATATGTAAAGGACCTTATACCCTTGATTTTTTTGAACCTTCAACTCCCAAGATGTGATTTTTAATTCTCCCCTCTAACAGCCACACGTTTCCTTATGAGATACTGACAAGAATTTGGTGTTAAGTCAACTACCTGAGAAGTTGGAGTATTCTTGTCACCTGTTCGTTGGGTAATTATTCATGGATATTGTAGCAAGGGATTAATTGTTAATTGCAAATGGTTTAAAGGATAACATTGGAGATTTGTTTTTGTAAAGGAGGAGCCCTGGTTCCCTGCCAAGGAGGGTTACACCTTCATGCAGTCAGTTGGCGAGGAGTTCTTGGTCCATGGCACAAGAGGACCGACAACTAAAAAGGAGTGTGAGGCAAGTCTTTGATAACCATGACACAAGCTGTTGCTAAGTGTCAACTGCCGGTGAAATTTTCTGGATGAAAGAGGGGTGATTGCTGTTTGGATTTTTGGCTGGCAATCACTTGGCAAAGTACAATGGGCACTTCTGAGGGTGCACAGTTACAAACTTTCAATATCTAATGCTATCTTTGAGTTGCCTCACTTGAAATTTCAGTCAGAAGGTTAATTTATCAGCTACAATGTTGATGACAATACTTCTCAGTGATGATCAACCAGTAATACATTATTTTGTATGTGAACAAAGCATTTTGCTGCTTCTTTCAAAGATCAGCAGCAGAGAATATTCCTGTTTCTGTGCATCTTAAAGAAAACTTTGTTTTGATGCATTGTTCTTGACTTCTAGGTGATAATGATGGTGGGGTTGCCTGGGTCAGGGAAGACCACATGGGTGAACAAGCAAGTGGATGAAAACCCAGACAAGAAATACAATGTGCTGGGCACAAACTCCATCATGGAGAAAATGAAGGTAAATGCGATTGTTTGTTGGAGTTCCCTCCACTGATTTTGTATATTTATTATAATTGTCTTTGTTATTATTATTATTCATACTTATTTCTCCTTGTAACGTTATAGCACTGCTTTTTGTTGTTACAGTAGTTTTTAGTTTTTCACAAACAAATTCACAGTGATGGGAAACCTTTGTGAATTATAATATATAAAATAAATAAATAAATTATACAGAACCTGACTAGCTCAAACTCCTAAGGGAAAACAAAGAATGGTTCAAGTTGGTGGGGGTTTGGGTTAGCTGGTAAGGGAAATGGGATTACATTTGAGTTACCAGGAGGTTCAAGTAATGGAGTTTGAGTCAGTGGAATTGTACATGTACTGTATTAACTTTTGATCAGCTTGGAAGTAGACTTAGATTGGATAATTTGTGTTTTAATTTGTGATACATGTAACTTGTGCATACATGTATTTAAGTTCATCAATTGCAATCTCTTTCAGTGTCCTTGTTCCTACATGTACATGAACTTGTTTTATGTTGTTGTTGTTGTCATTGTTGTTGTCATTGTTTGCTTTTAGGGTAAGAAGCCAATATTTTGTCCATATTGGTGTTTCATTAAACACCAGTTACTGGCATCTGTTTAGCTTGAAAGCAGGCTCTTGTGTTTGGGTTTTTCCTTAAGGTTCCTTTCCTGCACAGCCACCTATAACACCAAAAATAGGGTATTACACCCTAACATCAGTATGCATATTCTCCATACTGTTCTCTAAACATTTCATAAGGTGCTGACAAGGAGAATTTGTTTAAAAGTCAAGAATTTCTTTAGTTGGTGATCATCTCCTTTATTCTAGTGACGTTCATATATGATTCAAGGGGGTGACATTGTGAGAAATTAGACGCTAGTCATTTTTAGGGGTAATGATGAAATGGTTCTGCATGGTGCAAAAAGAAGTCAGGGCTTGACACTAACTTTTCAACTTACTAGCCAAGTGGCTGGTGACATGTTACATTTTATGACAATTTCAGTTTGCTTACTAGCCAAACTGGCTAGTGGAAATGAAAAACCACTAGCCAAAACTGAATTTCTACTAGTCTGTGTCTACTGTTAGTGTTGAACCCTGGAAGTGTCTGAAGAAGTTGTTGTTTTAAACTAAAATCTTGTCTAAGTGACTGTCCACATATCATGGAAAAACTACATAGAAAGAAGAGTTTGACAAGTTTTGACTCTGATTTTTTTTTTTTTTACTTCTTTTTCAGATCATGGGTGTGGCCAGAAAAAGAGACGTGGGAGGGTATAGTAAGTTGATGGACAAGGCTGCAAAATGTCTGCACCGTTTATTTGAGCTAGCGCCAAGTAAGAAGAGGAATTATATTCTGGACCAGGTAAGAATATTTCACACAATAAGGGGATGTTATTACTTCAAGAGAGTTAGAAGTTGTTGTAGTAAATAAACCAATTGAGGCCACTCGTATGTCAGCTGATATTGGCCACAGCTGAGATTGATCGTTTGCTACAAATATATGTTGACTCTTTACATCTCGCAAAGTGACTCGAAATGTAATGACCAAGGCTTGGCACTAACTTTTCAACTAACTAGCCAAGTGGTTACTGACAACTTAGATGTTACAACAATTTCAGTTTTTTTACTAGCCAAACTGGCCAGTGGAAATCGGAAACCTACAGCTAAAACTGAATTTCCACTAGTCTGGCTAGTTTGCTACTGTTAGTGTAGAGCCCTGAATTAAGATTTCTTTATTCACACACTTTTGCACACTGTATTTCACCCTTTCCCTCTTTCCGACAACATTGTTTGTTCTAAATCCTTTTTTATTTCTTGTTTTGTTCGTTTTAATTGCCAGACGAATGTGTACTTGTCAGCCCAAAAGAAGAAGATGAGACCTTTTGAAGAATTCAACAGGAAAGCTATAGTTTGCATTCCCACTCAGGAAGATCTTAAGAAGAGGACAGAAGACAGAAAGAAGGAAGGCATTGAGCTGCCTGAAAATGCAGTTAGTGACATGAAAAGTATGTGATTGATCAAATTTATTCTCTTTGTGACATGTATCAGGGCTCAAACCCAGAACAGCAGTTCAGTCATTTGGTTAGCATTTCTTCATTGGTCGTGTTAACCATTTAAGAAGTTTCTTGTACGTCCTGAGAGCTCTGTGTGCTGAAAAAGGGATTTTTAGTGTACACTGAAGTAATGAAAAAGGACAAATTTTAAGTTCTGGAAAAAAAAAAAAAAAAAAACCTGCCATTCAACAAATTGACAGTTGGTTTAGCGTGGTCTGTACTCTTATCGACAACGATATTCGTCATCACAGAGGCCAAAATGTTGTGGGTTCACAAGGCGCAGCCAAGTGAGTCTGCAACAAATTTTGACCACTGTGATAACGAATATCGTTGTCGATAAGGGTACAGACCACGCTAAACCACTGTCGATTTGTTTTTATCTCGATATCGACGTCAAAGATATCGATTCTTTCAATACGTGACCCGTTGCGTGACTTGTTGACGCGAGCAGCGTAGTCTGAACTCTTAGGGATAACGGCGAATTGACCAATCAGATTGCGACATTATTGCCAATTGTGGTAAAAAGTTATTTTTTATCGATTATTATTGTTCCTTGCAGTGAGTTTCACTCTACCGAAAGTTGGCGAATTCTTTGATGACGTCGTCTATGCCGATGAGCCCGAAAGCAAGGCGAAAAGCATCGTTGATGAATACATCAAAGAGGGTCGCTCTTACAGAAGCCGATCAGGTTCAGGATCTGAACCTCCATACAAACGGTCAAGATTTGAAGACAGACCACGACATGGTGGAGGATACAACAGAGACAGGGGCTTCGATGACCGCGGCAGCTACAGACGTGGAGGTGGAGGCGGAGGCGGAGGTTACAACCAAAGATTTGGAGGTCGCTCCTATCACGGAGGGGGTGGTGGCTACCATCGAGGTGGACGAGGAGGAGGATACCACGATAGAAGGGATCATCGCGGTGGAGGAAGAGGTATTGTGCTGGGAGGTTTGCCAACATGAAAGTATGATGCACCGAATTTGATTGCGCTATTTCTTGGTGAGCGATCGTTGATGAAAAATTGCTGGCGAGCGCAAGCAGCTGAAAGAAAGAGAAGACGATGGACGGACATTTGGTGTAGCTTGAGCAATTGCTTATTTTGTGCAGTTCCAATTCCCATTGAAATCTTCAATGACCTTTATGGGCTTTCTACAGTAGCGTAAACAATCTGCGAGCTCCATACTTAAAAATGACACATACGAGTTTTAAGTGTGGTGTTGTATACATGTACTGCACACGTTTTACTCGTATTTGTTTTTGGGCTTAGCTTTGAGAAGCAGTGTCTTCTCCCAAACACAATTCTCAGGACACTTACTGCCTACCTTGTCCCTCTCTAATGTGGTCGCTGAAATTCCAGGTACAAACTGGTAATTTAAACCATATGGGGAGAGAGAGGTACGAGAACTATGCAAATGCTGCTCCAAAGTGGTTTCCTAACTAGTATTGTCTAAGTGTGTGTCATGGTTCGCCAATATTTTGTTGTTTTTTTTTTTTTTCTCTTGACCTTCAATTCAGCGATGATACCTTAGGAATAAAATAGAATCTAGTCACTCTTGGTTATTACATTTTGAATCTTAGTTTTGTGCTCTTGTGTATATATTTACATTTTTTTTTTTTTTTTTTTTAAAGGTGGAGGCTATGGTGGTGGTTACGGTGGTGGTGGGTTTCGTCAGCAGCAGTCGTCCTACCGTCACCACCAACAGTCAAATCAACAGCACAGGCCTCGCTACCAGCAGAACTACAACCAACAGAATTACAACCAGCAGCAACAAGTTTCACAAGCTTCGTATACACCTCAGCAACAGCAACAGTAGAACACCAACCAGGCCTACAGCCAGTACTACAATTACAACCAGGGATACCAAGCTAGCACAGGATACCAACAGACCGGCTACGCTCAGCAGCAGCCGCAGCAACAGCAACAGCAGCAGCAGCAACAGCAGGCGTACGGTCAGACAGCACAGCAACCGACCTATCAGAATTACCAGAACTATTATGCTGGATATCAACAGCAGCAACAACAACAGCAGTATGGAAGTTACGGCAGCGGAAGTGGCTACTAGGTGTGTTATCTGGCGACAGGCGTGTGGTGAAAGATAACATGGACAGTGTTTGTAATCATGTATTAGCTGAATTGTTAGCCAAGTTCGCGTAGATGCTTTAGTTCAATCAGCTTTTTTCGTTTAAAAACATTTTTTATGGGGTGTTTGACGCGGGGCTTAAAGACTTTTTGTTTCATAGAAATTCTCGTAGATTACTAAATGTAGTTTAGGAAACACTTTTGTTTCGTTTATTGCTGTAGTATAGGTCCGCTTTAAGCCGCAGGTGATAAGATCATTAGACTGCCAGCCTTGACTCAAGTTTACGTGTTGTAGTTTCACGGGACGATTGTCTCTCAATATTAACCTATCAGCTGTGGTCTGGGCATTTTATTTTGTACACGTCGTACGATTTGTCGCAGTGCGATATATACACAACACGCCTTGGTAAACCTCTCCAAATATAATCCAGTGGCGCGAACGTTTAGTCATAACTAGCCAGTATAAACAGGCACTCCACTGAACCATGTTGGGGTCATTCTGATTAGCACAAGCGAGCGAGGAATCGCGGGCGCACTCTATGGCGTGGCTGATCTCTATAGTGTGTTTTCACGTTCTGATCTTTTCCGTACATAAAAAAAGTCCATTGCCAATCAAAATTGTTCGGCTGAGTGGTCGATTTTTAAACTTAATAGCATGTTTCACGAGAATTAGAGACTAGTTTGTCGTGTCAATCAGATGTCACTCATTTGGTCGATAAGGCTTTTAGTACCCTGTTGTATGTGCGTTCATGACCTTAGTTGGGGGACTTGAGAAAGAGCATTTGTGCTCGAACACAAAGTCACTTATCACCCATTTGTACCTACATACATGCCTTTTCAAATAGCACCAGTGTACTGCAGCACTTGTTGATTAGTGAGTGTGACACACGAACTTAGTTTTTTTTTTTTATTTTACCGTATTATGTACGTTTGCACGCTCGGGTTTTTCGCTTTGACGTAAAACAACTAAGGAACATCTTTTTTATACTTCGATCCGGTTTTACGACTACAGTTTCTCTGTCCATACGCTTTTTTGTTTTGTCTTGGTTTTTTTTTTTCTTTTTTTCTCGTTTTAGTCAAGCCGTCTTCTGTTGTTAGTAGAGTTCTGTAAAGCAGATTTGTGATCAAATACCTGTATGCATTTCGAGTCTGTATTGTTTGATTAATGCTTGGTAAATGTCCATCTTTTTCTCTTTCGCTAACTTGCTCAGAACTATAAATCATTGTAAATGTGATTTTTGATATTAAATCCATGTGTTGTGAGAACTGTTTATTAAACAAGTTTAAAAGAAAAAGATTAAGCACTCTCTTTTACTACTGCTAGTCAACAGTGTTGCAATTAATTCATGCAATGAGCGTGGATGAAACGCGTTATCCCCTTCCTCTCGTACTAGGTAAGTTTCTGTCCCTAAGGTCTTGTTATCGACTTCTGTCGACAGAGGCCTGGGTCGGACCGTTTGGACATCGAAAAGTGGGCCTATTCTTTCTCTCCAGACAAATGGAGCGAGGGGGGCCTGGAAATAGAAAAGGAAAAACTAGAAAACTTTTCTTTTAAACAACAAACATATGAAATACATATATATGAACTGCGGTTATGAAACGTATATGTGCACGATCCTTCGCAGTAAAGCACTATTTAAGCAATAGTGAAAATCAGACCTGAAAAAAATTCAGGCCTGTACGGGATGCGAACCACTGACCTCTGCGATACTAGTGCAGCGCTCTACCAATTGAGCTAACAAGCCAACTGGGAGCAGGCCATCAAATTAATTCGACATAAACCCGTAGATGATAAATCAAACAACAAACATATGAAATACATATATATGAACTGCGGTTATGAAACGTATATGTGCACGATCCTTCGCAGTAAAGCACTATTTAAGCAATAGTGAAAATCAGACCTGAAAAAAATTCAGGCCTGTACGGGATTCGAACCACTGACCTCTGCGATACTAGTGCAGCGCTCTACCAATTGAGCTAACAAGCCAACTGGGAGCAGGCCATCAAATTAATTCGACATAAACCCGTAGATGATAAATCAAACAACAAACATATGAAATACATATATATGAACTGCGGTTATGAAACGTATATGTGCACGATCCTTCGCAGTAAAGCACTATTTAAGCAATAGTGAAAATCAGACCTGAAAAAAATTCAGGCCTGTACGGGATTCGAACCACTGACCTCTGCGATACTAGTGCAGCGCTCTACCAATTGAGCTAACAAGCCAACTGGGAGCAGGCCATCAAATTAATTCGACATAAACCCGTAGATGATAAATCAAACAACAAACATATGAAATACATATATATGAACTGCGGTTATGAAACGTATATGTGCACGATCNGTTTGATTTATCATCTACGGGTTTATGTCGAATTAATTTGATGGCCTGCTCCCAGTTGGCTTGTTAGCTCAATTGGTAGAGCGCTGCACTAGTATCGCAGAGGTCAGTGGTTCGAATCCCGTACAGGCCTGAATTTTTTTCAGGTCTGATTTTCACTATTGCTTAAATAGTGCTTTACTGCGAAGGATCGTGCACATATACGTTTCATAACCGCAGTTCATATATATGTATTTCATATGTTTGTTGTTTGATTTATCATCTACGGGTTTATGTCGAATTAATTTGATGGCCTGCTCCCAGTTGGCTTGTTAGCTCAATTGGTAGAGCGCTGCACTAGTATCGCAGAGGTCAGTGGTTCGAATCCCGTACAGGCCTGAATTTTTTTCAGGTCTAATTTTCACTATTGCTTAAATAGTGCTTTACTGCGAAGGATCGTGCACATATACATAAAACTTTTCTTTTCTTTGAATACTAGGAGGGGCCTGTTAAATGTTGCATTTATGCATCTGTATGTAGTAAAATCGTTAAGGTTCCTTCTTTATTCAGTTGGAAGGTCGCCGAATAAAAAGGCTCCTACATCTGTAATGTGTTTCGTCGACACTGATGTAGATTGAGAAACAGCAGCATCATGTTAAATTGAAATGCCCATGACGAAAAAAAAAAAAAAAATATGATACATCGGTGAGTTCTGGTCAACTGACAGTTAAATACTAGAAGCATAGAATCTTGGTTGTATGCTTCTGTAAAGACTTAAAATATGCTGTTCGAGCATAATGTTTTAAGTTCAAGTTCATGTAAGTTCTCTATTAAACTTCTTTAAGTTTAAAATCTTCCAAAAGCGAGGCATCCTACTTCGTTTTATAATTGAGCGACACTGACCGCGACCGAAGAACTTGGTGTCGATTATTTTGAATTCGCCTTTTGAAGGCGGAAAACTCATTTGAATTCACAAATAATGTTTGAAATTAATATTCATATTTTCGCTCTGTGGTGCACGTGGAAAGAGCTTACGAACTACAAGACATTTGAGTCTCTTTTTAGCTTCTATGGAGTTAAGAAACACGTCCTTTCGACTCTATTGCCTTAGATATCATCTGTTCTGTCCAGGTCGGCGAGTGTTTCTTATGCTGGATCAAGCGGTTCAGATACCATTTCGACGATTCAAGCTCTCTACTTAGTCACAACGTTTCATCAGGTAAACAACCTATGAAAAGATAAATTTAGATAGAAACACTGTATTGGTCATTCTAGTTGTGTTCCTTATAAAATTTATTTACAGAGTCAAATGTAAGAAGGAAGAGCATAATGCATAGCACAATGTAGCTTGGACAAATTCCTCAGCCGCCATGACAGTTCTTCTTGACTAACGTGACTTTTTGTGGCAACGCGAGAAATTCGTACTTTTTCGTTAGTGTACCTATCGCTTATTTAGTTATTTCGGAAAGAGTTACAGGCAAGAGTTCCATATAACCCCATACATTAATTATACATTCCATTTCATAAAGACTAAATATAAAGGTTTCTTTGCAACACTCTATGCATAATTAATGTATGGAGTTAAATGGAACTCTTGCAGTCATTTCTCTTTTCATTCCTGTTTATATTTTTCAACTAACTTTTTATGAATATATTTTGTTGACCCCAAGTGTGTTTCAACCGTTTCGCTTCCAACATCTCATAAGTAATTCTCCTCACCGTCTGCAATATATAATAATCCCCTAACTGATATGTTTTTTATTCTCCTTAGTTTTATTCTCCTTTCTTGTCTAAAATCGTATTGATATTGTAAGGAGAAATTCTGTCTTGGTCACTCATGCAAGTTACAGGGTCTTTCCCTTAATTTCCAACCCCGCCATAGAAGGAGAGGGTAATCATGAACACCTTATAACTTACAACACATTTCAGTTTCTGGTTACCAGAGGATTGGTTGCTATCTTTTATACAAAGGACGCAATGAGCATTATTTGCTTTAATTATATTGTAAGGCAACCTTTTACAATACTTTCTATCACTCCACATCTCTTGTTGGCAAACATTGGTATTGAAATATCATGGTAATAGTAAGCTTGTCAAATGCCCGTTTAGTTCTAAGGTAAATACTGTAGTTAACAATTATTCACCGAATTAGAAGTAAATATCCACCACTTTCAACGACTCTGAGGTGAATAAATGTTTTAGTGTATACCACATAGATACAAAAAAAAAATTGTTTATCTCTTTCAGTATACCGAAATGTGGTCGAAAATTAAATTCTTGACGTGCGATTTTGTCTCAACGGCTGCATGGAAGTAAATAGTACTCGACTTTCCAACTAGCCAATCAGTACGCGCGAAAAGCGCTTTTCACCTGTGTGCTATGTACTGAGCAAAGTTCACAAGGTTATTCTCAATTAATTACATACTCTTTTTTTCGAAATGCTTCATATGTTATTGTAATAAATTTCGATGAGACTTAAGACAAGAACTTTTAAAGAGAAAATGTGCTAGCTCTTATTTAGTTTTTCTATCCACGCTTTGACCTATATTATTTAGAACGAAAAGCACTATGGTATGTATGCCGATTCGTAAGATATTTCTCTTTTATTCTCCATAGGACAATATCAAGAAGATAATGAAAAAAAAAACTGGAAATGAAGAAAGTCAAGGAAGAATAGACAAATGAAAACTTCTAACAAGGTTAGAAAATGGGCTTTTTGCAACAAATTAGCTATTTAATTAGGCCAATACGTCAGCGTTGAACGATTTAACCTGGATCTAATAGTCCACTTAACAGTTGCTTGCTTGGTTGCCAAGCCTTTGTGAGTGAGGCTCAGGGTGACCTTGTTATGATAGAGACGTAGCTGCTTTTTAAATGTAAATTACTTTGCTATCATGCTAACTAGATACTGGTCTCTATCACAACAAGGTCACCTTCAGCCTCAATCTAAATCAAAGGCTTGGAAACTAAGTACACAACTGTAAAATAGCCTATTCGAAACTGACATAGTCAATAATGAAAAAAAAAAATTAAGAAATGAATATTTAACTACCAATGATTATTAAATAATTTTCGTCCCTGTCTGATTTCTTGGATCTCTTTCTGATTGAGGCGGCTTTCAGTTGTTTTCAGCAGTGTTCATTTGATGAATTAATTCTCCCATTACCACTTTTTATCTGTTTCATCAGTGCATGTAAAGACTTTCCAGCAACGGTTTCATCCGAGGTTCTCAATCAAGACCTTGAAATTGTCGAATATTGCATTTGAACTCCTAATCGCATCAAAATGATTATCTGAATCTACCCAAGCTTTACAAAAGGATTACCACTTTTTTTTTCTCCAAATAAACGTAATACTGTCCTGAAGGTCAAGATCGGAATATTTTTAATTCAATTAATAAATAATTGAATTCAATTAATAAATAATTTAATTCAAAGTTGAAATGGTAAATTGGCCACCGTTACGATTATAAAAGCTGACGTTTCGAGCGTTAGCCCTTCGTCGCAGCGAATAGAGGAATTGTGGGTTGTGTGTGCTTTTAAAGGCAGAAAAAGGAGCTACGTGATTGGTGGGAACATGGCAACGAGAAAAACACGAATAAATTCTATTTTAGCCAAAAGAGAGACTGACATTAAAATTTAAGCTCCAAGTTATTTTCGATGAATTCCTGAGGTTGATTTTCTACGAGATGTAGTCATTTCTGTTTCATTGCAATTATAAACTAAATTTGAAAATCTAGCTTTCATGCTTTTGCTGATCATTTTTCTTTTTTTTTTTTCCTGTGTTATACCGCGTGATTGCACAAGATCTTCCATCCACCTATAATAAGGCGTAAATAAGCTAACTACGATATATTTTAAAACCAAATGCCTGGTCCAAAGGGCAACAAGTGATCCTTATTTGGAATGCGTCTTCAACTCTTTAACTCCCAGAAGTGATTAGCATGTAACTTCTCCCTATAATATCCATACATTATCCAGCAAACAGGTAATGAGAATACTCAAACTTATCACGTACAAGTTGCTATCTTTGAACGGACGCACAAATTCTCGTAACTAATTTGAAAAGAAACTTTAGGGAGAATTGATAATCAGATGTTGGAATCTAACGGGTTATTCACAAGTTTTGTACGTGTGGACTACCTGAGAAGTTCGTAATAAAGAAGCAATTTTATAAAATCCATCAGAATAACAACCCTCACGGTTCAAAAGTACTAGCTTTTCAAGCGAGGACAATAAACTCAGTTATTTCCATAACCTTCAATTAAAATATAACCAATTTGCATTTCAGTTTCACAAAATCAAAGTGCTTTCTCAAATTTCAATTTTAAGATGACCAAATATATTCATGATTCTTTAAATTTTCCTGTGATCCGTCATCAAGGTGTGAAAACAATCAACAAGAAGACGCGACAACTGTTCTGATTTGGAAAACTATTAAATTCTCCAATTTTGATTGATTTGCATGTCTGATTCCAGCGTTTGTCTAAAAAATTACCATGTTTTATCAAAATTCAATGAAATTTTCTTGTTCGTATAGGACAATCAGGATCTGACATACTGAAGAATTCGAACCTCCGCTAGTAGACTTGTTGACTGGTCAAAAGACTGCCTCGTACGTTCACGGCGATTTTCGTCCAATCTGTAGGCAATTTTTCAAAGATTTGCGAAACTATTTACCATATTAATTTCAATCGAATAATTTTTTTCTTCAAATATTGAGATCTATATTAAGGTCCGTCGTGAAAAGGAGTCGTTTATACAGATTTATGCAGAGGGAGCCCAGACAAGCGACGCGTCTGGTTGTTTATTCGGAATATAAAGGAATGTATGGGAGAATATTGAAGAGTCTTATTATCGTAAACTTATATCGTGAAATGTCTGAGTTAAAGCTCAAAATAAATGTAAACCTACCTCACTTGCTGTGTATTGTCGTTTCTGTGGCTTTAAATGGCGAATTTGAGCGATTTGGTGGGTTTTGCGTCGACTGTTACTATACGTTATACGTTTAATAAAAATTTTTTTATTCTTTCATTCAAAAGTCCACATTAAAAAAGGAACTTCCGCTAAAATATTTCTCGATTTGAAAAAAACGCGAATTTTTTATGATGTTTTAAAAACGCTAAAATTGACCGCCATTTTGGCACACCAATTCTCGCGGTCACAAAGGAATTGTGACGTAGGTTAAGGATCACGTGACATCAGTTGCTAATAAACTTGAGAGAGATTTGACCAACCACTCTCCATCGAGGACATTATTTGGCCGGTTCGTATACGACGATAGCAACTTTCATTGGTAGCCCCATTCGTTTGTAGTAAACACGGAAGCACGACAACAAGCGATCCTGAATCTACGTCATTTAAGAGCTCTTACTTTCTCGATCAGCGGAAGGGGTGTACCAAACAAATATAGGTTTAAAAAAATCATAAAAAGTTCGCGTTTTGTTTAAATCGAAAAATCTTTTTCGCAGAAGTTCCTTTTTTAATGTGGACTTTTGAATGACAGAATAAAAAATTTTGTGACATGGGCACTTTAACGTGATATTTTCAAAAGGCAATGCTCACCTCCCGTTGTAGTGACATAAGAATGTTTTCGCTGCTCTTCTTTGCAGGTCAAATGTCCTATTCCTTCCAAAGCGCAATGTTATGTTTAGCAGAAAAGACAGCACATCTTCACTTTGCGACGGACAACGTGGTTTGCCGAAAATAACAACTCCTGATGAATATGGATTAACAACTGCAGTCAATAAGCGGCTGCTACGTCACAGGCTTGGCTCGGAGACTTTGATTGCACGCTCAGCCGGCTAATCGGTGAGTGTGTGCTGAATTGGCCGGAGACAAGAGGAAAAAAATAACTGGAACAGAAATCGCGTGACGTACCGGTGAAGGAAAACAAACATAAAGAAATTGAAAATATCTTCTCTATAACTTTAACGAGCCCAAAATTCGCCATCTCTTATTTGTAAGGTTTCGAGGTTCTTAGTCAATGCTGGAAAAAGCGACGTACCGCCGTAGCTCATGGAAAATCCAAGAAGAAAAATTCATTCCCACAGTCGCCTTGTCTAAGAAAGTAAATTGTGGCACATTAGCCGGTGGATCAGGCGCCTTTTTTGGAAGCGCGAGTGGCGCGAGTTGCTCAAGAGGAGCGCTGAAAAAAAAACCCTCCGCTTACAGGTGTCGCGTCCCGCGCACTTTTACCCGCTTGCCTGAAAAACTAGAATTGAAAATTAGACGAGACCTACCTGGAAGTTGAATATTGATTGAAAGTCTATCAGTCACCCACAAAATAGAGATTACATAAGAGACGCGAAGGCGCATAGCTGGTCTGAACTTTGAATATGCAAACTAGACATTTTAAGGCAGGCACAGGCTAAAGACGCAACCTCTTAATTCAAATTTCTGCTTGCAATTTGTTTTCTGTTTGTTTGTTCTTTTCTTTTTCATCTACGAGGCAAGTTACCGCCTTCTTTTCAGCTTTCAGTAGTCTCCAAAAACCAAAATTCTCCTAACGATAGAATTTCACATTACCCAATCTAGAATAATCAAAATTAGGCAGGTGAACTCTTTCCCTCTCGCAATGCTTTGAAAAATAAGTATTGCAAAGCCACTAACACTGCAGCCTCTTAGAGGTAGGTAGTTCCAAGGACTGTGTTGCAAATGAAACTGAGACATTTCCCAAACATGGTTTATTCTTACAATCATGCCATTTTTTTTAAAATATATTTTTCAACTTTTCTCTATTTGGTATAAAAAAAGGCAATTCTACTTTTCTTTTAAATTACACTCAATTAACTTACCGAATTAACAGACAATTTTTTTAAGTGTTGGCAAGTTAAAAGAGCCCTGCTTTTTTACTGCTGAATCAAATTCTCCTAAGGAAATTTGCTTCTCTCTTAATCCAGTACCACTTATTAAGCGTTTCCCCCACTTACGAGCGGTTTACTGTTCAAGGATTCAACTGAATTGTGTTCGATTCAATGTCCTATTTTCAGAATGACTGGAATCTGCAGCAACTTCGCTGTTAAATTCCGTCGGCTATGTTCTCTCCTTGTTTGAGATTTTGCTAAACATCACAAATCAATTAAAAGAACTGGCTGGCAATTTCAAAACTACCTAGACAACTTGAAAAAATTAAAGTTTAACAAAAAGGGAAATTTTCCTATTTTCTTAATGGAGGGCGAGGTGGAGAACATTACGACAGAATGTAACTAAATCTAATTTCTAGAATTATTCAACTCGTGATGAAATCAGAGCAATCTGTTATCCTTTTAACTACCAGAAGTGACACATATAACTTCTTACAATTTCAATACGTTACCCAGGTGATAAGAATTAACAAACTGAACAAACAATAAGACAATAGCTATTTTGATAACAGCACAAATTCTCTTCACTCATTTCCGATCAAAATATATGGCTAATGAAAAAGGGGATTTGTGAACGATCCTGTGAGTTTATGAGCTGAACGTGGCCTCATTTAATGACTTCGCTACGTTGAGAGAGAACTCTAAACACTGAATGTCACTGAAAACTACAATATATTACTAGTCTTTTCATTTGTCCCAGTTACTGGCTGCTTGTAAAGATTTCAGCAACATGAAACGCGAACTGAGTCCACAAATGATCTTCTTCGATTTGAATAACAAGTTGTTACGCCTTGTTCTTTGGGACACTCTCAGTGAAAATAAAATAGAAAGAAGCCACGAGTTTTTCGAATGAATTGAAATTTGGAAACTGGGTTCTGACGAACCCGATTGGATTTGTGCAGAATTGCAATATTTATCACTGGAGAATATTTGGGTCAATTCTTAATAAAAGGCTGTGTTCAAATGAGCGCGACGAATGCGACGTGATGCACAAAATTTTCATACCGTGGGTCACTCAACGTGTCCTTTGCCCTTCATACAATCACCAAAGCAGACACGATTGAAAGGGATTCTATAGCGATTTTTTGAATTGGATTAAACGATATGTCAAAGTTAGAAAGAACAGAATCGTCCCAACTGCGGCTAAGATTTATATATGGAAAAAATACAGTTGAGTGCTTACAGCTGTAAAACGCAGTAAGACAAGTTTCCTTGGGCGACACTGTTGCAAAATTTTGTAAAATCCGCTAGCTGAATGATTATTTACGAAAATTTCGAACAGCCGTATATTCAGAAAAAAATTGTAAATCTTGTGGAGTAGAATTCGCGACTTGAACAAAAATTCTTAATACTATAAATGCATAATATAGCACAAAAAAATTTTGCAATGATTTTGGTGTTGTAAGAAGTTCAAAGTATCCTCCATCACGCTCGAATAAACACAACCTGCCTAATAAACTATTCACTGGCACCATCTAGTGTCACGTGACATCAGCTACCATTCTCCACTCGGTCCACAGGAGGGGGCACGCTGGGCATAGTGCTCGAATTGCCAGAGCCCATTGTCAGGTACCCGGCAACACCAGCGCCCCCTGTCAGGTAACCAGCCACAGGCTTGTCCGAGATAAACAGGTCGTGTTTCTGGTCTCTGTACGAGGCCCACACTGTAGAAGCCTCCAGAATCTTGTTGATCTGTTGTAAGAAAGAAAACGTAGGAGAAAATCAAAATTTGACTGAAACAATGGCTCCGTTTATCCATCGACAGACCCCTCTTTCTCCACCAGCAAAGCGGTATTTCGCATTTATCAAAAATGGTACTAACTCACCCAACAATACTAAGTTATCAAGAATAACAGCAACAATACTTGGTTTTGTAATCAAAAATTCATCTCACAAAAAGAAAGAATTGCTGAGCGAATGTTACCTCCTCGCCGTGCGTCAAGTCACGTAGCATCGCCTTCAAAGCCTTGACAATTTGAGCTTTGGTAGCTGCAGGATTCTCCACAGTTTTAAGCGCTCCGTTCAGAAGGTTTAAAAGATACTGGACTAACTCAAATTTGAGCGCCTGGACAGGAAAAGACAGATAACAAAACTATTAGAATTAATTAGGTTTTATTTACAGGTAGTGAAAGATAGCGCCCAACAATAGCCTTCATTCGATGCCGCATACCATGGTTTGACTCACAAAAAGCACTGACCAGGAGCTTTCTTTTCAATGTCACAAACCATAGTTTCACCCAAAGACTGCATACAAAGCTACAATCGGTGACACTTTGAACTTTTCAACGCCCTATTACTTCAATTTTATCTCTTTTGCCCTTGTTAAGTTAACCTATTTGACTATTCTCCCCCAAAACCAGTGTTGTATCGTGATTCCATGAACGTTTAACTACCTACAGGCAGCATTGAATAGGGGAGGGGAGGGTCTTGTCAAAGATTGATAGTCTGGTAGACACAGGAGAGAGTTACTCTTAGCATAAATAGGTCTGTTTAAACATGACGTGTCAACTTATTTTGGCACTGATTGCAGCTAAAACTAGTTCGACCCTAACAAGATCAGTATGCAACTTCTCCTCTCTTAATTTCCCAAGGGGCTGACAAGGAGAATTCGTTTAATGATGAGAACGTCGTTGGTTGGTAACCATTTCCTTTGTTCTCTTGACCTTACTGTTTGTTCAGGGGTGATAATACCACTTGCACCACATGGAAAGAGGATCTCAATGGGGTTAACTAGTAGATGTAAAACTACCACAATTTTAATCAATGGCCGTAAAAAAAGTGTACCGTAAAGATTTTCCTTATCTACGACGTGTCAAATGAAAGTGTCAAAATCTGTTGTTACCATGTTTATGTATTTTTTAATTATTTATTATTTTTCATTTTTTTTTCGATATCTTAATCATTATAATTAACATGAATATAGCTCTTACAAACGACAGTACAATAAAAAATAAAATACAAAAAATACTACAAAAATACTACATTTCACTTATATACCGCAACGAAAATACGGAAAAAAATTACAAAGCTACAGTTATAATTCATTTACTACGTTAAGTATAAATTAGGTACCTGGGGTTCTAAGGACCGGTCAGAAATGTGTTTTACCATTATAAAAATTAATGATGAACTATTTAAAAATTATAAAAATTAATTCTTGTCAACGGAAGGAAATGAACCTTTAGCCGTTGAGTGGCCAAAACCTTAACTGTTAGTTGCAAAAGCCATAACCCCATCGAGACCCTCTGAAAGTTATTTCTCAGTTTCGTTACCTGCGCAACAAGCTCTGTATGATTCTTCTCGAACATTCTGTGAAGTGCTTCACAAGCCAAACCCACCACATCTGGTCTCGCATCCATTCCTTTGATCACGTGACTGATGCAATCACTCACCTGGGCCATGCTTAGAACACAAATCTGCAAAGGGACGTTTGGAATAAAATCATACGAAGTGGTAAGCAAGACTATTTTTTCCCGCAACATATTATTCCTTCCCACAATTCTTGGCTTATCATTTTGTCGTTACCATTCCTCTTCCTTGTTCTCTAATAGCCCCATCTTATCTCATAAGCACCTTAGGAAATCTCAAAAATCTGAGGATCTCTAATAAGAGGGGGATGTTTGTCATCTGATAGGATTTTGCAATGGCCATGCTTTCAAAATCGAACAGTAACCTGACAATATTGAAAATTTTTCTGTTATTTTCTACACACTTGGTCGCAAGATGTGGAAAATTTTCCACTTTGTGAATTCTCCCCCACCCCAAACCCATGCAATGTCGCGTAAAATATTTCTATGCCACTGACGTTTGAATTCTAGAAGCAAATCACCTCTAGGAAGAGGAATAGGGGAAGCAAAACTTATTTTGTACGGCTTCAACCAAAATTTCATGTTTTAAAGAGTTTTCCACAAAATTTGTTCAAGATTGTAATTTCAATAAGATGCTTAATAATGGATAAAGGCTGATAGTTTCTAAAGAAACTGTTTGGGGCTGCGTCGGCGGGGATAACGAAATAATTTGGATATATCAACAACGTTGAAATGGTAAATTGGCCACCGTAACGATTACAAAAGCTGACGTTTCGAGCGTTAGCCCTTCGTTGGAGCGAAAGACGAAGGGCTAACGCTCGAAACGTCAGCTTTTGTAATCGTTACGGTGGCCAATTTACCATTTCAAGTTTGTATAATAATGGAGTCAAGCACGTGCAATGATGTCTGTTGCTTAGTGCATTACATGAATTTTTGTACAATGCAAGTACAATGTTAACAACGAAAAAAGAATACCGAGTTAATGATTTCCAATACAATTTAAACTGGCCGCTATTCCCTTTGGATTGTAGTTAACTATCTGGTGCGAATTTGCTTTATTTCAACTTTAACACTCTACCTCACCTCATTAGCTGACAATAAATGAACCACTTGTACAGCGGACTTGATGACTGCGTCATTACTGGAGCCCATACTCTTCACTAAATTAGGAATGTGGCCAAGACCTGGAACCTAAAGATAATACTACCTCTTTACACTCGCTAATAGTTAGCGCATCTTGAGACCCATCGTAAAGCCGCCAAGTTGAATATCAAATCCTCAGTGGCGTTTCGCAGGCCTGAAATATTGAGATTACTCTATGGAAAATGCGTACTAATTTTATTCACGAGTTGCGATACATTAAAAAAAAATAAAAATAAAAATAAAACCAAAAAAGAGCCAAAAATAAAAAAACAATGAGCGAGCGCAGCGAACGAGGGAGTTTTTTGATGCATCGCAACGATCATTTCGTACATATTGAGATTTACGCTGTGAAGTACGAAGCGAACGACTGTGAAAAATATATCGTTCGTCCAATCAGAGACACGATCGATAGTGGTTCACAGTGTTAATCTCAGTATGTACGAAAAAAACCTAGATATCGAACATATCGGCAAAACAGGAGTATGACACGAAATGATAGATGTAAACATCGACAATATCCCAGAGCTAAATTGTTCTCCTTTTCTATCAGTCTTTTAAAAAATACCTGGTCTCCGAGTTGTGGTTGCGCAGTGAAAAGACAGAGAGCGGCCTGGGTAACAGTCTCCAGAGTCTCACCCTGAAACAGATTAAACAAGATTCAACCAGTCAGACAGGTTAAACAAGATATATGCAAAAGTAGTCAGACAGGTTTAGACCAATGACAATGTATGTACGACGGTGATGAAAATAAAAAGGGAAAAGATTCAAAACAGAGAAAAGATTAAATGTAACTTTTGAAGTACACCAAACACTTACATGAGCAGATATTGTGAGTAGCTCAACAAACTTCTGTAGCAGAGCAACAAGGAATTCTTTCGGCTTCCGTAGAACCTAAGACAAAAGTGAAAAAAGTACTCAACATCGAGCTGATCGAAAGAAAGACCCCTCTCCTCTGAGTGAAATACAATGCAATGTGATTTAGATGCTGGATGCCACTTGAGCGTCCTTTTTTACCTTCGAGTTTTTTTTTTTTTATTTTTATTCATGGGTTCTGTAAACTATACTTCAGGTCGAGGTTTCATCGAATTTTGCAGGTCAGGTTACTGTAAAGCAACCAAAGTTCGGCTTCCTTCAATAGTACATTTGCAAATGAATTGACTTTGATGTCAACGAACCGAAAGCGATTCAAACATCTTACCCAAGCCGGTTGCTGTATGAACAATCGGAGGTAAATTCCACCCACGATTAATTCGCCAGCAGCTTCGTCAAACATCACTTCGAAATTGTCGGGAAGCTAAAAGAGAAGGAAAGAGAAACTAGTTACAATTCTCAATTGGAGCAAACTTTCAATAACAGCTCAATAACCAGTGATACAATGTCAAATAAAGGTTAGCTTAATACTCACCTTCCACTGGATGTCGGGATTGTCTTTCTGCTCCTGGTAATGTCTGAAGTAAGAAAAGTAACACAATGAACATGATACTAAAGTTATACATCACAGCTGAGATTAATCCTTGCAATCTTTTAAATGTTTCCAAGTACCAACGGACGACACCTCAGAACTACCTTTGTTTTGTGTATGCAGTGTTAAAGACACACGTTCCAGAAAAAAAAAAAGGCACGAATAAGGGGAATTACTACTGTTGTTCTTGTTGATGAAAATTTGAGGAATATGCGATGCCCTATTTAAAGTTAAAAATAAATCTCGGTTTGTTCACCTGTCTTTAAGCTCTTTCACCACCGAACAGATTTTTTCCCTAGCTTCTGTATTCCATATTAACTCCGGATTCTCCTGGTTTGCTGTACAACAAACAAACACAAAAAGAATGATGGAGTACGTTACTAAGCCCTGCAGAACAGTATTTTAGCGTTTTTCGCACGAGCGACGAGATAGCCGCTCGAGGAGCAATCAAAAAAGGACTGGTCGCGACACTAAGATGTGGCTAAAGCACACCTATTCTGTCTGTAGGCTACACGTACTCTTCTTACCTTCAAACATGTGGACACTGGCTTGTGCACTGTCTCTCATGGCGTCCATAAAGATGGCAGGCAGGAATTTGGACAACACTATCTTGACTTTGGGTCCAATGAGCTTGTCCGACATCATCTTCGCAAACAACTCCGCTGACCTTTCCCGCACCACAGGATTTGTACCGTTAGTATACAGGTCCAGTAGGTAGATAAGACCACCTAAGAGAGAAATTTAAGGTTAAATTTTGTATCATACAAGGCATGATGGGTTATGATTAGTGGCGGATCTTGGGGAGGGGCACGCCCCCCCCTTATTTTGGGTAAAAAAAAATATATACGTAGAGGGAAGAAAAGCCGGCAGGTTAGTGCACACAAACAAAAACGCCCCTCCCCCTTAACTCAAGGTCTGGATCCGCCACCGATGACTTCCACATCTACGAAGCCATTTCTACTCTTATGGTTTTCCAAGATAGTAATTCTGTTGACACAGGATTAAAATGTGGCCAAGAGGTCGTTTGCCAAAAAATTAAATGAGAAGATTCATTTTGCAATATTGCAGTTTACCCAGTATCTGCAGATTTAGTCTTGGACAATCGTGGAGAAAAGGCACTTTTTTTTAACGGAGCGTTAATCATGCCGTAAGCAAACTGACATAAATTCACTTCTACTTTGGACCACAAAGACGAAGGTGTAAAACCGTTGCAGCTTCAATGCCACATGACAACCAAGCATAGTTTGCCAAATTGGCGAACTCCACTGCAGATTTAGTAACTAAAGTAAGTAAGTAACGAATAACCATAAAACTTTATTTTATGGTTACCAAGGCGACCAAAACGGTCGCAACTTGGAGCACTGACACTCCACTTACCTTTGTGCATGGTTTCCTTGACAATCTTCGTGTTGGAGCAAAGTGCATGCATGGTATCAACAGTCAACAACCGATCTAAAAGATTACAACAACAACAGAAACAACAAAAACAGGTAAATCGATGAGAACTGTTTCGATCATAATGATTCTAGACTCTGGCGCATGTTCAGGAGAACGTGACGTTGCGTTACATTTATGGTATTTTTAAAATGAGTGACAGGGATCAAATGTCAAGTACTTTTACTTCGTTCGAGATGTTGCCTTGTGAAGATCGAGTATTCGCCAAGGAGGTTTTGTCCTTAGTCATAATAAAGTAAAACTTTGAGTTTAACCGCGGATTTATTGAGTCGTTCTTAACAGCACATTTAACGTCATTTGGGAACAACTATGACTCTATTCTATTTTTCTATTAACGGCGTCACGTCACACAAATTTTGAGCCCTTTCTAGCGACGTCGAAAATTTGAACGGGAGGAAACACGTACGATATTATCGTGGTAAGAAAGGGAAATACTTAAAAGTAAGTAATTACCCAAAAAGGAGCAAGGATGGCAAAGCATTGAGCAGATCGGCACGGAGTGCAAAGTGGTGAACTAGAGACAAAATTACTGAACTATTGGAGATCGACAATCCGCAACATAGATATGTAAATAGTCCTCCGACTTCTCCCAGTGAATTGAAATTTGTTAAAATAGTCCATTGAAACCGTTTCCTTTGACAAATATGTCAGTTAAAGCTTTTCCGACTGAAGGTATTGCTAAGATTTGTTAACTTTGGTACAGGCGTATTCCGTACTCAAATTAAAACCAGAGCAACAAACAATAAGAAAGGGAAAGATCCCAAAGAGCCAAAAATAACTCTAAGAAAAAAAGGGCTAAAGGCGCGGGAAAACGCGGCTGACTAAATCGTGATTGGTTGCGAGAGTGGAGCGAGTTCTTCGGACTAATCACAGAGCGAAGTTAAGCAAAACCAATGTACGAATTACTTTCGACACTCACTTGAAAATTGAACAACTCTCGTTCTTTGGCCACTCGTTACATTAAAGGTACTTTTCTACCACGTATGACTACTATATCGAGGTTGTCCTTTGATATCAAGATCATTTCGTATAGCGCTAAGAAAAAAGAGTTAGAATGGTTTTGTTTAACTAACCTGAAGGAAGCGTGTGGAGCGTAAGAAACAAGAAGCCAAGAATGTCAGAATCAGCAATGCTGGATACACAGTTCTTGTTGGCTGTTGTGCTCGAGATGACCTACACGAAAAAAAAGAAGGATAAAAAATTAAATTTTCTATGAAGCGGAGAGACCACAGAAATTCATCTCCACGACAAACGCAGCCTGAATCGCCCAGTGATTCTCAAAACTACAGCGGTAACACAAATGGAAATTTCAGAGCCTGTAAATAACGAGAACTTGTACCTTGACACCGAGCATGAAAACGGTTAATAAATAATTTACTTACACTTTAAATAGCGCTCGATAAAAGCATGCGAAAGTTGTATACATTTACATTAGCTCCATCGTTTTTACAGTCTTACCTCAAGAGCAAACTTCTGAAGTTTTGTTGCTTTAGTCATTCGTAGCAGTGAAAATATCAGCCTAAAATGTCCAATGCATTGAGCTTCGGTGCCTGAAGACAGAAAAATTAAGTTACGAATATAATAAAGGTAGATTACCTGAAAAGCTATCATCAAAATTTTACATTACAACCTATATTTTTAACTGGTCACGCAAGCATCGCAGCGTTATGCGCACATCCAGATCACATACTCAATCGTATTACCGGTCACGCAATTTTGCATCTAAGAGCGATTAGATAACGCACAGTTAACATTTGCTCCTGTTATACCTGCGTTATTCTTAATAACGTTTCGTAGTGCCTCCAGGGCCATGACACTAGCGTCCAGTCTTTTCTGGTTCTTCTTGAGATCCAGCTCTGAGGCCGTTAACGCCATGACTGAATGAAGGTACTGAGAAAAAAAGAAGAGTTCATTAGAAATCACTATTCGAGGGACCTTGAAAAAGTAATTATTGAAAGATTTTGAATGAAATCAAATTTAAAGACATTATGGGCGAAAGGTGTATTCGAAATTTGCCTTTTCTTAGGCAATGCCTCAATCTTAACCATATTAATTTAGCTAAACTTTTCACTAAGAATTGATTTTTGGAAACAATGTCAACCACAAGATAAACAGCTGCACGATTACACTTCAAACAACCCACTTATTGAGAACTATCGAGGTCCATTTAATGTTCTAAACCACGACCTACGTTGACATCGTTTGAATGACCGGCCTTTAGAAAAAAACTTTTATTTTGTTTACAAAAAAGAAATATTCCCACGATCGACATTTCCAATCACTCTTCATACCTGACTTCTTTCGAAAAAGATACTGAATCAGACTGAATATTCCCCAGGCCACATCACTTTTACCATGGTCCGTTTCTGGTACCACTTACCAATGGTAATTTGGCATTAATCTTAACACGCCTCTACCCTTTCCCTAAAGGAAGCTGTATTTAACAATTTGCTCAGCTCCGGTCATAATTTGGATATATCAACAAAGTTGAAATGGTAAATTGGCCACCGTAACGATTACAAAAGCTGACGTTTCGAGCGTTAGCCCTTCGTCGGAGCGAATAGAGGAATTGTGGGTTGTGTGTGCTTTTAAAGGCAGAAAATGGAGCTACGTTATTGGTGGGAACATGGCAACGAGAAAAACACGAATAAATTAGTGGAATGAAAAGCGTTCGTTGATCCCTGTGGGATTTAGACTGCCGGTTTGAAAGATGAGCTTTTGTTCAAGAGTTTTACGGCTTTCCGTGTTACCTAAGTGTAAGGAAAGACCGCTTAAAAATTTTTACGAGTTCCCTCAGCGAAACCTTTATCATGAGAACCTGGAATACGAGGAAACTTTTTTACCGAGCGGCATTTATTTGCGACCTTTAGGAACCATTTTATAAGCGACACCACCCTGCATAGAAGTGATTAACATGTAACTTCTCCTTATGTTATCTTACAAACATGTTATGAGAACAGAGAAGCTGATCAGCTAGACGTTGTTACCTTGATGTAAAACCAAAATCTCCTGACTAATTTACAAGGAAACGAGTGGCGGTCAGTTGGGAGAATCGCGAACTGGATATTAAGAGTTAAAGGACAAAGCGGACATACGAAAGGGTGCTGAACTTACCTCAAGTGGAAATAGAGGCTGTTCGTTGTATATGCGTACAAAGATTTCGCCAACAATAAGTTCTTCGCTGAAGACCGAGAAGGTGAAGCGTGCACCAAATGAAGTATCACAGTCGCCCTTAAAAACAAAACAAAACAAGGTTGAAATGAGACGCAATACATCCGTAAAGTAGATATGTAACGCGATTCCGAGCGACTGTTACGACGCGGCAAAATGGCCTTGGGATATACTTAGACCTATAAACGCTTAACGAAAAAAATTTTAATGTGCTGAGGTAAGAAACAATACCAAAAAAGTATTAACCACCAGGAAATATCGATGGCTAGGATGGAGGAGATTGACACAGATTATAAAATACGAGCTTGAAAATCCTTGCGAAGATTCTGTCTTCACATTCCATTTCATCATAGTGAATCACTTTTCGAGTGCAGACAAACATTAAAGAAGCACAAACAAACCAAAAACGAACAAGGATGGCTGACGATGCTGCAACCTCGTTCCCAGGGGTCCTCTTTTTTCCTTTCTCGAATAGGACCCTGGGAACGAGGTTGAGGATGGGGAGAACTGACATGGGCTGAAAAATTACGAACTTGAAAAGTTTAGGCTTCTCTTTTTCAAAATAACCCAACGGCGATATAGCCTCCAGTCGATTTAGATATAGAGGATCTTACATGGCCGCGCGGGGATACGAATTTTATCTTCGAGTGCTGAAAGTATCTCTCACGAGTGAGCGCAGCGAACGAGTGAGAGATACTTTCGGCACGAGAAGATAAAATTCGTATCCCCGCGCGGCCATGTAATGTTCTGTTTATTATATAGATACTGACGAAATTTCCACATAAAAGACAACTTTTTTTATTCATTTTCGAAACAGCAACTGGGTAATTATGTTGGTAACCATGGCCACACCAATATCCTCAAACGAGAAGGATAAAAATAGTATCTTCACTGCGCGCGGTGAAGATATGATTTTTTAGTAAAAGGAGAAATCCTGGTATTTCATCGGTATCTATATAATAAATATCAATACAGAAGTATTCCTAACTTTTGACAATTTTAGGACAAGCAGAGAATATTCTATGAGGCCCATACAGTTAAAGAGCGACAGCTCTACTTAACACAAATCATTACGTTTTAGTTACGATGTTTAATCAGTGAGTTACCGTCTTGATCTTTCGCAGTTGTTGGGTTTCGAGGAACTCATTCAATTCTGCTCGTGTAGCATTGTCCCAAATGAGATATGGATTTTCTGTATTACTGTTCAGCAACTTTAAGATCTATGCAACAGCAAAGCAAACAGACAAACAAAAAGACTATGTTTAGTACTTAAACACAATTTGAAGTTTTACATCTGTAATCCACAGCAAGCGGGTTCGGTGAGATGGGATGAGATGAAGTATGTAGCTTTGTAATCGTATACTCCAACATTTGAACAACATAGAATCTCATCCCAGCGATCGGTGAAAATCGCCGAGTTTGCGGGCCGAACGATGACGCCTCGATCGATGCATGAAAAAGCAACGTGTGATGAGTCAGATATCAACGATTAGATTCGTTAGCATTTGCCCGAGGCGCTCGTATCTTCGAATTTTAGCGGCCGTTCAAAACGATTTTTTCGTGCCATTCTTGAAAGTAAAAAATAACCTCGATCAGGCGTGTGAATCGCCTGGGTGATGGCAAGATTCGTAAATCAGATGCGGATCAAATAAGCTGCACTTGAAAAATAAAATCGTCCAGTTCGTCGCCAGCTTAGGTGAGGTCAACACTCGATCACGCGTTCTTTTTCTTAGGGGGTAAGGGGAGGAGAGCCCGTTGCGCGTTCTTTTTCTCGGGGGGGGGGGAGCCCGTAAGAATGTCTGATTGTTGGTAAGAGGAAAGTATTGAATTACTAACCTCCTTTGGGTTATCATTGCTGAGTTGTTTGGCGATATACGGAGTGAACATACTGGATAAAGACTTCCGTATGGCTGGGTTCTCAGGGGTTTTATTTTCGTCAGCTGAAAAATGCAGAATACAACAAGTAAGGTTTACTGAATTGTTTGATTTGTCATTGGATACGAGCTGTTGTCTCTCTCAGACTAGTGTTTACTAGAAGTAAAAAAGGTACTGTAATAAAAATAAAAAAGGCAATGCGAGGGAACAGGGGAAAATCAAAATACGCATTTGCCAGGGGGTTGCTTGAAGAATCGTTTACTTTAGTCTCTGCCAAAAAGAGGAAGGAAAATAAAAAAGAGAGAAAAAGAAAGAGAAAAAGAAAAAAGAAAACTCCTAGTGTAGGAGAATGTAAAGTGGAAACTTGACCATGACCCACTCAAGGGATCTATTTCTTTGTACAGTGACTCAAGTATTTTCTCCCCTATTTTTTTTTCGCAAAGCAGTGGATGGAGCAGCAGCATGAAAGGAACCGAGGAAGGATGTTTTACTTACTCAAATATCCACCCAGTCGAGCCAAAGCATCGATGCTCAGACGAGCAAGACTGTTCAGCGTTTCCTGTAAATAAAAGAAATGAAAATGATTGTGTTGTTCACTCGTTGGCATAGACTCAAAAGATTGCCTCTTCGTTCAACGATATCGTGCGTGCGTGCGTGCGAGCATGTATGCGAGCATACGAACGTGTGTGCGTGGGAGCGTGTGTCCGTCTATACTTCCGCTTTCTTGTTTGCAAGTTCAATTGAACAATCCTTCGTTCACTCATTTAATCGTGCGTTGATCATTTTACAAATCCATTTCAGTGCGCGGTAATCTTTTTTCCAAACCTGCTGGTTGGTTTCTGCACTTTTCTCCACTCCACTTTCATCCAGTGTGTAGTCGTAATGAAACAGAAACAAGAGTAAATGCCACAATACACCAGCCTACAGAGAGAAACCAAAGGTCAGGTACAAAAAGCTCCACTAAATTGAAGCAAGTTAGGCGCAAAGCACATGAAACACATACAAAATAAACCTAGTTTGACGGCAACGCGACGTTATCATATTCATATAGCCGTACTTTTAAACTGCTCAATGTGCATCCCTTCCACGATTTCCCTTTGTTTATATTTTCTTTTTAGATCTATTTTATATTCTCTTTTTCACCTGTAGCAGTTGAGTTTGAAGCCAGAAGTCCACAGAGAAAGCACTGACACATTCTGCCGCTACAGAATTGAGCGCTGGAAGATTCTAAAAGAAAAGATAACCGCTGTTAGTCGCAGCGAAATCTCAAACACCTTATCACTTTTGGTCAATACACTTACATAAATTCGCCCTTCGAAAAAAAAGTCACCCATACCTTAATATGTAGTGTTTGGTATGCGCGCGAGGCCATCAGCTTCGAAAGAAGCTCGCATTCGTTGACAGGTAAGTGCAACTATGGGTTGGCAATTTTGAATTGAGCGTCGAAGTAATCTTTGCTTTTGCTTTACTTCGGTCCGTGATTGGTCGAGAAAACTTGCTCCACGCTCTAAAACCCATCGGACACTAAACAAAACCCAATTATGACTTGGAAGCTGGCGTATTCCCGCGTTTTTGATAATTGCCTGTTTTAACTTGAGTCCTCGCTAATGATGACGTAAAAATTTGTTATGACTGGCTGATGTGACCACTTTGGGTGTTGGTTTTACGAAAGTCAATTGAAGAATGTTTTTGCTTCACTTCACTCTATGATTGGTCCAGAAAACTCTCTCTACCAATCGGATACAAAACTAACACCAATCGCGACTTGGACGCCTACTTTTTCCCGCGCTTTGGCAGATTGATCGATTTCACTTTGAGTTCTCATTAGCTCTTAAAGATATTTTACTTTTACCTGATTGGTCCTTTTGATCATTTTCGGTTTGGTTTTCCGACATTCGATCGAAAGCGCTCTAATTGGTAAGAAATTCATTATAAAGTATACGTTACTACAGACAACAAGCTACGATCTTTGAACGCAGTATTTTTGCATACCCTGTGGTAAAGGACTCGACAAAGATCTTTAATAACATCTGGCATCTCAGTAATCTTCTCTCGGCACTCTTCAAACTGGGCGGCCACTGTGTAACACCTTGTAATGTGAGTACAAACCTAACCAAGAAAATAAAAGCAACAAAGGGTGACATCTTCTCCTAACTTACCAAAATAATGCACAGCATTAGCTGACTTTCTGATTTGTAATGGAAATGAGTTTAACGTTAACTAGAAAGGGTTAATACAAAATAGGCCATTTCCGAATTACTTTTGGCCTCTTTTTCAAAACGAGGCCTGGTGCTCAACCATTCTTGTGAAAATGAGTTTAATTTGCATGTAAATGAAAACTTATCATCATATGAAAGGATGAGCACCAGGGCTCGTTTTGAAAATGAGGNTTGATGGCCTGCTCCCAGTTGGCTTGTTAGCTCAATTGGTAGAGCGCTGCACTAGTATCGCAGAGGTCAGTGGTTCGAATCCCGTACAGGCCTGATTTTTTTCAGGTCTGATTTTCGCTATTGCATAAATAGCGCTATCTACTGCGAAGGATCGTCATCATACGTAAACTACGATATGGTAAGCGTACGCATAAGCCTAAAATTGAAAGGGAGCTAAAAATGTAATAAAATTTAATAATTCAACGTAGCGTTTTTAATAAAACAATTATTCCACTCGCGTTTGTTGGATATGAGATGATTATAGCCAACTCGGCGCTACGCGCCTCGTTGGCTATCTATCATCTCATATCCAACGGGCGCTCGTGGAATAATTGTTAATTAGACACTCGTCGGTTAAGGGGTTAAGAGCTGAACAAATTATTTTCCTGTTCCAGAGGAAACGACATATATTGTAAAATAACTTACTTGGACTGGAATGGCGTTCGGTTCAGTCATGGCAGTGATGGCCAGTAAGCAACGGTCATAAGCTTCTTGAAGGGCCTGGTTAAAAAAAACAAAAAACAAAAACAAAGTACAAGATAAGATTAGTTATCTAAAAGAACATTTAGATTCTAGTACTAGGAGATTTTTCCCTGGAAGCTTACCACATAATACTAACAAGAAAGCTAAGACAGGTAATTTCGTTTTTCTCTTTGCAAGTGAAAGAGTTCGTTCAGCTGAATCAGTCAGTTATAGATAAAAGGGCCTAAGCCTTATGACATGAAAAAGCGTTTAGTCAGGCAAAAACAAGAGTTTCATAAAAGTTTATCAACTGACTTATGACGGGCAACTTTAAGGAATCACGTACGTTATGATAAATCATTCTAGAATAGTTCTGAAAAACAAAGGAGGCGTATTTGCACTCTGTATTTCTTCATGAAACATTTGACCGCCATCTTGGATTTCCAGGCAGAGGAAGGTCAGTGAAAGGAAGAGAAATTTCTACAGAGAGGGGGACCGACAGGCAAGAAAAAAGCTGCGGGAGGGGGGGAGGAGGAGCAGGTCTATTATCTCCACCCGTCGCCTCCTATCTCCGTCCACAAAAATGGCGGCTTTCAAAAACTCGTTGTCCCTGTTAGGGCGCCAGCACTGAAGACTAAAGTTCCAGTGAACCCTCTACCACAACCGCTTTTACCTCAATTCCGTTTTCTCTTCGTAGTTCCTCGGCATTAAGGGCAGAGCAGTTGATCGTGTGATAAGCCAGTTCACTGGCAGCTGTCAGAAGCGGAGCGGACTTTGAGAACAAGCTGCCATCCTTAGTCTCGAGTCGGATGGTCTTAATCAACATCGGGTAACCGGCGTATTTATACGGCTGAAGGTCTGGAAGGAAGTAAAACACTTTTTATGCTAACGTGAATAACACAGGCATTTTGATTGGGTCTTACTTACGATTAGTAAGAGGACAGACACAGATGACGTCTTCATTAACAGCTCTTTCCTAATTAAAATTTAGCACATGAAACAAATAGATTCTATGTTGCTGCGGATCTGGGCGATGAAAGATTACAGAAAACGTCAAAATGCGGTAAGAACATCAGTGACACTCTCTGCGACTGCAAAGACGCACAGCAACATGGAATCTATATGTCGAATTGAATTTTATGTAAACTGATTGGTTTTCCGCTTTCTTGAGTCTGACGGGGTTTTCATTAAGGGCCTAGGACTTGCTAAGTTTACTGGGATGTAAAGACGACTTTGACGGACTGCTTTCAAAAACTCAACCTAAATAATAACGTAGAATTTACTACCCCACATTCCTCTCATGTGACTTGAAATAAAATAAAACTTAGAGATATTTGAGATACAATAGGTATAAGATTATATATTCGCGTTAAATAACTAATCCATCTGTCGATTGATGAATCACATCACGTTTCAATTCTCTCAAGAAATGATAGCTCTTTGGTTGAAGAAACTACCGCGAGTAAAACACCCATATGGACAGCGTTCGTTTGCTTTTGGTGCGGCTAGAATTTGGAACAGTCTTCCTCATAAAATAAAGGACTGCTCTTCCCTGAGCTCATTCATCAACTAAATAAGGAAATTGAACTTACTAGGCTAAGTTATATTTGTATCCATTTCAAAATGACTTTACAGTCATCGATATGTGTGGAACAATTTTTAATTATTTACAAGGCAATTCTGTTCGTTTTGAATCTTTTATTGTTTTTGTTTCTCACGAGGGCAACATGTAAATTCAGTTATCTTGTGATATTTTGTGCTACCTACAAGAAAGAAAGTTTTGAATTTGTTATTGTTTTTGTTTTTACGAGGGTCACTTGTGGATTATCTTGTGATATTTTGTGCTATCTTCAAGAAAAAAAAGTTTATGTCATTAACTTGGAGCCCGGGTGCCAAATCGAAGTGCCCTCCTGTTGCAAACCTCTTTCGTGTTATACCGATTTGGAGAGCCAAGGCTAGTAGTTTCTTCCCCGAGATAATACAAGACAAAGAGGCAGTTACGAAGATCGTGACAAAGTTCAAATCCCTACCATTTTTGTATCGGTTGAATAAAATGGACTGAGCCTTGAGAATAAGAACGATATTGTGCGGATCTGGTCCTTGAACTTGTTTTGAAGACTTGGAACAGAGGAACTCGTACGCCTTGTTCACTTTCTCAAAGATGTCCTACAAAGGAATAAGGGAATTTAAACAACAAAATACTCCGAGAGATAGTTTGGTTTTATCAACTGAGTTGAAACGTAAAATGGCCACCGTAAAGATTCTAAAAGTATAGGAGGTACATTTCTAAAAAAAACTGTGATGATGCGTCGGTGGGGAAGTTCTACAAAATAACTCGTGCATGTGAAATTGGCCACCGTAAAGAGTTACGTTATCAACTCAGTGAACCATAGTATCTTGTAGTGCCCCCCCTCCCCCCCCCCGCATTAACGCAGCACCACAGTTTCTTTGGAAAAGGTACCCCTTTAAACAAGACACTCCATTTGCTTTATCATCTGAGTTTTCCCTTTAGGGCTTATATCACCAACTCAGTTAATAAACCAAAGTATCTTATAGTACCCCCCATTAACGCAGCAACACAGTTTTTTGAGAAAAGGTACCCCCTTTCAATAAAGTACTCCATTTGCTTTATAATCAGAGTTTTCCCTTTAACGCTTGGTTACTTTTCTCCATCCTTGGCCAGCCCTTTTCCTTTTTGCCTTATTCTTACCAGGAGTAGGCATTAAGCGACTTAAGAGCGTTACTAATTCCCCCCTGTATGGGATGCTGGTCCATCGAAGCGAGCCCCACAACATTTCATCAAACTTACACAGGGCCACAGGGTCACCAGTTGTACTTAAACTGTTACGTGCTACCCTCTTGAAATAAAGTCATTATCTTATCTTATCTTATCAAACTTTTTGACAGCTAGCCGGTACCCATGTATATTCCACCAGGGTGAGGAGCCGCAATGTAAGAAAGTATTTTGCCCAAGAACAGAAAAAAATGCCCTAGACTAGGTCTCGAACCCGAACCTCTCGACCCAGATCCCTGCGCGCGAACCGATGGACCACTGCGCCTTCTACTACATTGGTCCACTATTGGTCCAATGCTTTTTTTGTTGTTGTTGTTGTTTTTTTCATCTTAATTCTCTACTGCTCAGAGGAATAGATAAAACATCGCTATGTCACTCCTTTTCTTATTTATCATTTTTGACACCCGCGTGGGACAAAGAACTCTCACCCTCTTTTCTGGTGGTATTTACTCATTACACACGGCAAAGCCTTACCCTTCCATCTGGATTCTTATCTGGATGATACCTCTGCGCCATTTTGAAGTAAGCTTTTCTTACTTTCGACTCATCGACAAGTCTGTAGGAAAAAAATTAGCTTTAGTATTAGGACTATGGCCCATAACCAATCAGAGAGCAGGATTTGGTATGCAAATGACATGGACCTATCATGAGGCCGAATTAGAATCCAAGATGGCGATCTTATTAGTCACGCAATGTCGTAACGCGCAGGAGGTCACGGACTTACAGGATAAGGGAACGTCATGTCATACAGCAATTATGTTTCCACGCCTCATGGACACATCACATTCATAATTGCCGAGATCAAATGTACCAGGAGCACGGGGCTAGTGTATCTATTGGTTAGAGTATTCCAGCACGAAAACTCCTGTCTCAATATCCCTGTGGTTTCAACAGAGCAACCATCATAAGGAATGCACTGTCAAATATAACAGGTTGCAGCTTATAACAAAAGAGAGCTGCTTCCATCTCATCGAGTAAGCTCTGTACTGTCATCTCTTAAGATAGATTTGTTACCAGACTTTGAGTTTGACCATTAAGTTGAGGGCCACTGAGATGTACTTTTATGAAGAAGTGTTTACTATACCACACTGGATGATTCTACTGTTTACGCCTGGGTGTGAAAACGGCGGTATGTGACCTTTCGTATTAAAGCTACAAAGTGCTCCTGCCACAAAGTAGTTTATCAAGCAGCAGAAGTTTTAACTTCAGACACAGTGGGTAAATCCCTATTTGTCACCATTCATATAAAAGCATAGGAACAGTATTTCAAAGGAAGCTGTGAATTATGCTGCTCTATGTCTTAATTCTGTGGATCAAACTCTCAGGAGTGACCATCCAAATGAAAGTTATTGAGCTGTTCTGTAGCGTGGCACTCTTTATCATGCGGTACCAAGTAGTCCACTTTTAAGCATGAAGGTAAAACCATAGCATGTGAAAGCTACTAAGCGGTTCTTTCACGGGCTACTGCATGCCACATGTACGCTTCACAAAGTGGTCCCACCTACCCTGAAGGGTCTCTCTTGACTTTCAGGACGTCATATGCTTCATCAACTGTCAATGTCGAAGGCTTCTTTTCCACTTCCTTTTTCCACGCTTCTAAAATGTCCTTGAGTAGCCGAACCTGTACATACAAGAGCGTCGAAACAAAACAATATGATGTCCAGTTTGTCCAATAAAAGATATTATTTCCACACAAAGTTCGCATCACATAAAGCACATTTAGGAAACTGAAAGCAGAATAATACAAGAATTTTACATGTGGTGCAAATTTCATTTACCAATTAAAAGATCTAAAGAGAATACGACCGCAAATTATATTAAATATGAGCTACACTATGAGTTAACGACAACTCGAAGTAAACAAACGTGAAGAGCAGCAAAGCGCGGGAGGATGTGATCACGTCACAATCTGTTCCGTCTACACATTTGATTGGCTTACACGGTGGCGTGAGTGCTCTTGAACCAACTGCAACGTAACATAGCAAAGCAAAGCCAATTGGAGGTTGTTTTAGAACGTGCAGTATCTTACCGGTTCTCTAATTGGCCAATCAGGAAATCTGTCTGTGTCGCAGAGATGCCGCAGGTAGAAGATGTTACAGAACAGTTCATTCTCCAGTTGAGGATATGATATCACTGGGATAGGACAATACTGCAGATAAAAATGATGAAAGGTAAACAAGAAGAAGAAAGAGTGGATGGTTACATAATTTACACGCAAATTTAATAAAATCGCCCGAAATAGTTTTATATGGAAAAATCTCGCACTGAAGTCGTAATACACAAAAGAGTACGAACAAGGTTAAGGAAGGAAAGATTGCAAGCAGTTAATTTGAAAGCACGATGCAATAATTACCTGGTACAAGGCTCTAGTGTTGCTTTGTAATCTTGGTGAGAAGTCTGCTAAGTGAGTAGCGATCTTCTCTATCATCAGTCGCCTATAAGACATTGAGTGAGTGTGAAGAACGACATAAGATATAATCCTCGCAGGTGAGCTGCAGTTAGAGAAATTGTACAAAGAAGCCTGGAAAAATTCAGGCTTCGACAGGATTCGAACCCATGCCTTCCAGATACTACGTGAGCACTACTACCATCGGAGCTACCAAGCCACATGTTGGGAGGAAGGCACATTTCAGGAGTTCTTCACTCCCGCAGGTCAAATTTCAATTAAATATGAACACGACATAAACAATACACAGACCCAACTGAACATATACAAATGTAGCAAAATTGTAATTGACGTCATAACACAATAACCCCAAGTTCTTCCTCACCTCATTTCATTGTTCCAAATGGCTTCTGGTGTGTCGAACTCGCCAAGAAAAATCTCAGCAAATTTGTCAGGACCTGAGGGCCGATAAAGCAACTATAAGTTAAGTCTAACTGCTGCAGTAAGAGTTATGTATAACTACATGACAAGTTCCTGATGCTTCAAAAAATTAAAATCGTATTTTACTTTCTAACTTTTAAAATAGTTAACTTTGGGCCCCAGATAATTTTTCAATTGAGTGTTGCAAGAGTTGGTCTCGTTCTGTGATTGGTTTAGAAACCCTGTGCCGCCTTCTCGACCAATCAGGTGCAAAGGTTCACCAATCACACCTTTTCCCGCCTTTTTTTCACTTTAGGTCCTCATTGGCTTTTTGTAATATTTTACTTTAATTTACAAAATAAATAAATAAATACGTTAATTGAAGCTCCCCCGTAGGCGCTTTTCAGCCACAAAGTAGACTAACTAAGGGCTTGAAAATCTCCACTGGCAGGAGGCAGACCAGTGGGCTATTTACATAGCGCAGCCGAAGAGTTGAACTAGAGGTAACCGAGAACAAATCCAGTGAGCGGCAGGGTGGAGGACTTGAATCCGGGTCCAGCGCCCTAACCACTCGGCCAGGCCGCCTCCTTTATATAATTTCATCGGACTTAAGGATTCCTTTGGTTTTGCTCGTGCGAAACGCAAGCGAACTGGGCTCTATTCACTATTGGTGTTTTTTATATTTCTCTTGAAAACCTTTAGCTGCTATCTAAGTGAAAATCGGCATTGGTTGATTCGATTACAATGAATGTCACGTAAAACTGTAACTCACCATGATTTTCCAAATAACAAACCATGGCTTCCGGGAGAATGGGCCCGATTATGCTCCTCTGGAACAAATCAGTCTGTTGGCTCTGTAAGAAGAATTAAATGCCAGAGTCATCAAACTAAGAATCGGATCACTAAAATCAATACTGCCAGAAAACTGAAGCAAGACGTGAACTATGTCTATGGCTTCTCTAGTCACCAGGCTTCCCATACAGGTTGTCGTCCTCACCTCTTCAGATCTGAAGGCCTGCTTTGTGTGTACTTCTTGCAAAAATCTAAGGAGTGACAAAGAAGAACGGTGCGTTGAACACAGTGATGGAAAAAGGAACTTGCTTGGGGTGCGTTTATGCATCCAAAGAGAGCAAACTTTTATTACTCAACAATTCTTCATTTTACTTATTTATTTTGGTTTCCTGGATATATGTCATTCGTTAAGTTACGAAAGCAACAATCCTTAAAAAGGGCTGACTGCGACAAATCGCCAATTAAACACACAGTTCTTTCTAGCTTCAACTGAATACTAATATCCTTACATTAAATAATTTTCGAAATAAATGACTCTTATTACCACTAACTTAAACCACAAATTGACACGTAGTGGATGAAAAGCTGAGAAAAAAATTGTAAGAAACTGAAAATATTCCTACGGCCTTCATCCGATACATGTTTAAATAACGACCCTACTGAAGTAGCGAATGTAAGAGGGTGCTCAAAGTAGCGGTGAGGGTCTGTTGAAACTTTACGATAGCTTGCTACACAAAATTTACCTTCCAATTGGAAGAACATTTGATCCAGTGTACATCATTATAAAGAAGAACACTCCAGTGAGATACAATCGTGGGAGGATGGGGTTGTCCTAAAGCAGCGGAGAGTAAAAGATGGCAACTAGTACCCAACAATTCACTATTGTCTCTAGAACTGTCTGGGTGTTATTATCCATCAGCTGAGAGTAAAGAATAAGTAGAACGTGTTTTTCTCACACACTGCTGGGGTCTGGTAACGAGTTATACGACTTTTGGCCGGAAGTTGTTTTGCTGCAACCCCAAGTGGTGAGCTTTTCCCATCTACCAACCCAAAGGACTTCAAGTTGTACTGTATAGTCGTTAATCCATTCCCAAACTTATAAATTGTGCAATTTTTCATTCATGAATGATATAAATTCATAGTTTTAATGAATTTGCAGCAAGGGTCGTGTGTGAGCTGCATTCCACAAACAACAATTAAAACAGTTGTGCTACCATCCAAATGGTTTGTGTTACACAGGGTACTTACCACCATCATATTAAGAAGAAGAATGGCCACTTTCTCCACAATAACGGGATCAAAAGTTAACAAAAGCTGTGTAAAGATAGTAAAATAAAAATGAATGTACAGACCAACATACATCAAAGAGGGTTGTGACAGGAAACTCAGTGGACCCGGAGATTTCTATGTGGGTCTTTTTCTTTTTTAAAAAAATGTTTACGGTGTTAGCTCCGAAGAAAATGTTTAGATTTAAGGTTGGGCTAAATCAGAGATGGTTTTGAACGCTGTTTTGCTTTACAACGGCTTAACTTTGTCCTAATAACAGGCACAATAAGTTGTTATTAACTTCGGCTGTGACCAAACACATCATTATATCATAACCAAAGTAAAGCGCGCGCTCTGATTGGTCAATTCAGCGTCCACCACTTGCTCATGGGTGTACGCTGCTGACGTGAGCAGATGCAAAGACTAGTTTTCCGCGCGCGCTTGTTTTTTCTGGCCACGTAAGATTTGTTAAGTAAAGTAAAACTCTTTTGCTAGGTAAACGCCACAGTGTACACTAATGAGTTATGGATGCACTTGGGAGGTTTGCTGAGCATTCAAGAGACTAGAGTCGCTGTCGGCTATCGCCTCGCGCGACTCTTACGTTTCTTTCGTGCTTAGCAACCTCCCGCGTACATCCATAACTCAAAAGTGTACGCCATGGTGTTTACCATTTGTTAATTAGGGACCTTGGGCAAACCACGACGGTGACGGTAACGAGAACGTGGAAAAACAAGATCTAATTGGCAGAACAAAAGCTCAGCACGTGCGTTTTAAAACTTAGTACATTTCTCAGCCGTCCTTTGTAAAACAAAAACGTAAAGTCACCAAAATTTGCGTCGTTTGCGAACCGAAACCGTGACGGCAAATATTTCAATTTCCATTTGGAACTCAACGCTACTTTATACGTTATGTTGAGGTTAAGGTGTGGCGTCGTATGAGACGGTAAACACATACAGCCATTTTCGAAATTCTAATTAAAGGTAGAAATTAATTTTTTAATCGACGTCTTACTTGGTGCTTCCGTCCTGACTCCTTAAGGTCCGTATTGTCAGTATCTGAGCAAAGGCACACCTTCCCCTCCCCCCCAACCCAAAAACAGCATACTGACAACAAGTTAAGATTAGTGTTGAGTTAGGAGTGGGGTGGGTGCGTAGTTGCTCCGATACAAACAAACAAACGAAATTGCGGAATCTTTCCGCCGAGTATCTGTCAAAATGTTTGCCCCTGTAGACGCCGTACCTGAACTAAATGCGGCAAACAGGTAGCTTCTGACAACATTCTCTTCGCTCTTGGAAGTGGCCGCACTATGGCACCATCAACATCTCTGGCAAAAAGAGAGATGGAAATACGAATGATGTCAATCTTCACCAAGTACCTTACATTGTGCTAAATTTCACATTACAAACACAAGCCAGTTAGAATCTAAGTGAACTAAAAGAAGACATCACTGATGATATTAGATGCCACAACTTTTCCTATTCGATTTCTCCGTGGTCAAGTTACACGAACATTAAATAATATATGAACTGAACTGAATAATTAGACACAAAACTATTTCGTAATTCACAAATTTCTCAAGACCGTTTAAGGCAAAAAAAAAATCAAAAAAAACAAGAAACATTAGAGAAACAGAACAAAAGAAAATCAAAGCAAACAATAAAAATAGAAAACGAAAGCAAAAGAAACGAAGAATCAAACAAAAAACAACACCACCACCACCATAACATCATGCTGGAATGCTCTTTGAAGTATTCTGCAAAATTTTACGTTTATCTTGGCAGGGGTTTCATTAAGGGCCTGGGCACCGGGCAAATTTACTGGTTGTGAGGTTGGTTTTGCCCACCCAGTTAATGAAACCCCTGTCTTGGTTGCATAAAATAACAAGGTGCTATTCGAGTCTTTCCAAAATGGACACCTTCGCATGGACACTTTTTTCTGATGATGGGGAAGTTTGTACCTGTTAGGGTAAAATTCACAAATCTTGATCAGCATGTTCAAGATTAAGATAGCCAGATCTGTTTCATTCATTACTGCACTGCCTGTGGCCAGTAGATACCACTTCAGCTGCGGAATACTCTGCAGTGGTCTCCATCCATCCATACCCTGTGCCCAGCACTTTGTTTCCGGACGGAGAATTCCTTCCGCTGACATATCCTTCATCTGGGAAAAGAGAAAGAAGCAATATTGGCAGCGTTCTAACATGTCAAGCGCGCTAGAGGAGCCCCATAGCATAAAACCAACATGATTTTGTTATGACGTCATGACCGTAAATCTTTCCGTCCGTCTATCCGTCTGTCCGTTCGTACCTGATACAGCATGCGGCTTTCTGCAAAACTATAATGTTATCCTTCTTTAACCCACTGACGAGCTAGCAAGGACAGGTAAATACGTACCATTTAATAAAGGAAAGGTTCTGAGAAAGACAACTTCTGATTAGTAGGTATGTGCTTCTGGTCTGTCCGACCGTCTGAAATCTTTTTACCTTAGTTAGTCGGTCAGTCAGTTAGTCAGAAAATTAGACAGCCAGTGAGTCAGTCAGTCAGCCGGTGAGTCAGTCAGTCTGTCAGTCAGTCAGTCCGTCAGTCAGTTTATCAATCAGTCAATCAGTCAGTCAATCAGTCAGTTAGTCAGTCAGTCAATCAGTCAGTCTGTCGATCAGTCAGTCAATCAGTCAGTCAGTCAATCAGTCAGTCAGTCAATCAGTCAGTCAGTCTCAGTCATTCTATCAGTCATTCAGTCAATCTGTCAGTCAGTCAATCAGTCTGTCAGTCTGTCAGTCAGTCAATCAGTCAGTCAGTCAGTCAGTCGTCGGTCAGTCAGTCAGTCAGTCAGTCAACCAGTCGGTCAATCAGTCAGTCAGTCAGTCAGTCAGTCAAACAGTCAGTCATTCAGTCTATCAATGATTGCAACACTTAACTGTAGAATCAAGCCTTACAACTAACCTCTTTAAAGCTGAATGGCCCCAGTCTCTCTTTCTCCTTATTGCCATAGTACCACTCTTTTTCACCATCACGCTGCATCATTTCAGGAGATGCCTCGAGAAGATTACTCTTAAATACAAACGGAAAATTATAATAGAGAAGACGATACGCATCACTTAGCATCCTCCATCTATCCTCCAGTAGCTTATAGATTATATAAATAATGAATAATACTTCTTAATTTTTAACTTAACTATTGTAGACATACCTTTTTATAATTTACATTTTCACATTTTTAAATCGACCTATTTGCATATTTTGGATTTATTTCTATATTTATCATATAGTATATCTTTTTGTTTTGTTTTATTTGAGGGCTACTGGGTCATCAGTTTATTAGTACTGTCGTGTGCCACCCTCATTTAATAAAGTTACTTAGTTACTTACTTACTTCCTTATTGATAACTGAACTGCTCTTGCCGAACACAACAATAACATCATGTTAGGATCATCATTTGCGACCAGTGCTCTGATGATATTACCTGTAATGGTACTACAGCTCTTGAAGTGTGAAGATGTGCCAGTGTAAGAAGATCTACGAGAACTCTGATTCCATTTACATCCATCATCTCTTTCACATTTTTCTGTATCAAGAAATAAATCCAGTTTACACGAAGCAAAACGTAACAGAGACACTGGATAAAGAGGAAGGACTATACAGGTTTGAAGTAAAACTTTATAATTCATGGCTTGATAACTCTTTGAAAAATACAATGGTATTTTAGTTGGAATCATCATTTTTTCCACTACCAATGCATCCTGTAACATCTAACTCGGCTTTATTTCTAGTCCCATGCCCGCTTCAATTGAGTTATTTCATCTCTCTGTATTTACATTACCTTGTTTTTGATCAGTGCATTCAAAAAGAGTATCAGACGATCCCTCTCCAATCTGTCTGTTGTCTGTAAAAGAAACACCATTCGCCAACGTCAAAACCTCGAAATATAGTAATTTTTTTGAAAAATCAAAAGCTTTCACCAAGTGTAACATATCTTGGAGACTTGTCCACGTAATTCAGTACCATTCAAGTGAAGTAGAATTGCATGGCCGCAAGAATGCTACCAAGAAAACAGTTTTAGATTCTCTTAAATCTTTGACTCCTTGACGTGATTAACATGTAACTTCTCCCTATAATATCCATACATTATTCAGAAAACAGGTAATGAGAATACTCAAACTTATCAGGCAGAAGTTGATGTCTTGATCTAACTCCAAATTCTCGTAAATCACAAATAAGGAATTGTGTAGCAGCTAGAGGGGAGAGTTAAAATCAGATCGTGGGATTTGAAGGGCGAAGCCACTCCCTCGCGATATTTCTTGCAGTTTTAGTTCTTAGAATCTGATACTAAGGAAGGCAATTGAGAGATTTAGCACCGACTTTACGTGAAACGGCAGACGTTAACTTGACCTTTCACGTTCCATGTAAAATAGCATGAACCCTGCTGCTTTAAGCTTCGGGTGAGCTCGCATCATGGTGGATTTTAAGGCGTTCTTGCATGACTTACACGAAATAGTTTTGGTGCCCTTTTTCCGGCAATTACCCTCTACTCTGTGTGAGGAAAAATGAAGAAAATCTTACGTACACAGCAAACGCGAGACAGGTTAATTTCGCGTCGAAACCGTGGCAAAGGGCGACCGGCGAACGTGAAAAAATTTCGGGAAAACCTAGTCACGTGGTCCCTCTTCTTGTTCACGTTTCACGTAAACGCGGCGCTAAATCTCTCCAAAATCTCTAAGTTCAAGACACTGCGTATTTGTCTTCATTCGCATGACTTATCTGCCAAATAAAGTACTGATATGGCTAGGACGAATAAAGTGCTCGTCACTCCTCGAAGTGAAAGAGCCAATGTGACTACCTTCTCAAGCATTCCGACGATGTATCGCGTGTCATTGAAGGCACCGATTTCATCGTAGCATTTGCTGTACACCTTGGTCATGGCCTGACAAAATGAATGAAGAGGACAAATGGTTTTATCTAGGTTCACAACACTTAATTACGAGAATCATGGTCACAACATTTACATCAATTTTCATCTCAGTTTCCAATGCAACCCAATATTGCAATGCTTTTGCTTGACTACACGTCGTTATTGTCGAGTTGTAAATACCTAAGAAGGAGACAACTCGTACAAAAGTCTCAATCAGTTTAATATTCACCTCGTCATATAAATTGCATTGTTCTGCGAAGTTACAAAAACATTTGCCTCGACTTAGAGAGGCACGAAATTCGACTACCTCGGCAAGTTAAATAGGACGCTAAAAATCTTCTAACAGGAGATCAGAAGGACAGAATTACGGAAACAACTCTGACTCGCGACGATTCAGGAAACGACAGGGATTGGAAGACAAACATTGTAAGTATAACTGTTTGTCCTCGAATTAGAGAACATACAAGAGTAACTTTCATTTTCATTGTTACTTCAGTTGACTATAACCATACATATATAATAATTTACAATTTTTTCCGGAACACAACGTTAAAGCAAAGATCAGATATTTCAACTAAAAGTCTCGAAATCTTCTTTTCCTTAGCTACTCTTCAATTTTGCTGGCGTCTCGCACCTTTCAGCTAAAAGTGTCTTTATTGGATTCCAAATTCTTCTGTGTGAGCTGCTAGATGTGAATTCACAAAACAAATACTAGTGTTGTGTATCTACAACCTTATGGCCACCCCTTCTTTGTTGCCCTGTACCAACCACACAAGAAAATTAATCAACATGGTTACCAATCACAAAAAAACAAACTTGACATAAAATATTCAAGAGGAGTGATAAAAGCAAAGATTTAACAAATGCTACAGACCCTGGCCATGGGAGAACACAAATGATAAAGTAACAATTACACTTCAGAACATCTGAATGGTTGAGAAGATGGCACAAGTATTTTAACTAATTACAGAGAATGGTTCTTGTGTGGTTGGTACAGGGCAACAAAGGAGGGGTGGCCATAAGGTTGCAGATGTTTTCATACACGTTAAGGTTTTGCTATTTGGGTTAAAATGACAAAGGATAACACGCTGATAAATGAACCGATTATACGCGAAGCGTTCCTTTCACCAGTATCATTATTACTTACTTGTAAGCACATAGCTTTCATAGCAGGCTTCAGAGTCAGAAGAAATCTGTGGTAAAGATCATTGAAGAACTCCAGCCTGAAAAAAATTAAAAATAAAAAAATAACAAGAGAACTTCTTTTAGCTTAGAGCAAACAACTCATTCACATAAATATAGTATGCCCCCAACAGCACCTTTCCCTGGATAACAGCGAACTCTAAAACCCAAAAAACGTCACGAACTGTTACGGGGTGACCTGAAAAATTCTTGTAACTTCATGTTACAGAAACAGGGATAACCTCTGGCAGACATGAGCAACTAGACTTTTAGGACTGAACCATGTATCAGTGTGGTACTTACGAATTATGGATCATAGTTTTTCCTTCCTCTTCTTCGAGAAGCAGTCTGAGGTAGTAGTCTCCAATCTTTATCTCTTCACTGAGACACTCGTATCTCACTTCAAATTCTTGGTGATTCCATGAAATGACATGATTTGATCCAAGATCCTTAGTCATTAACAAATTAGAAAAATATGACCTTTATGATACATTGAGATGCAGTTGAAAGTTACATATACTGAGCAGTATTTTTAAGAGGCGCAGTTTAATTGTCTGCACAAGTGGGTCGGTGGTTGAAAACCAAGTGTGTGACTGCTCAGATGGGAATTACAGAGCAGCTCTTTCATGTGATAATGTTTATTATTAAAAACTGGATCATTGGATAATGCAATTCAAGACTTTTTATTGGATTAGCCATTATGGTATATCAGCCAATATACCATAATCTTCAAATATGGTAAGCGTACGCATCAGCTTAAAATCAAAAGGGAGCTAAAAAATCCAGTTTCTTCTTACAAAATAATAATTTCTTAGGGGCGTTTTTATATCATCTCATATCCAACGCGCGCTCGTGGAATAATTGTTAATTATGCGGCACACGGTGGCTCTGACTGTTAAGTCTGTGAACAAAATCCCGGTGCGTGTGACCATTCAAGTGAAAGCCACTAAGTACAACTTTTCTGTGGGACTCATTATCCTGCACTTCGAGGTGGTAGTGTTACTAGGCAAGCCTTGAAATGGAATCCCCAGGGGCAAACGGAAAAGAGAAAGCCAAAAAAAATTAATAAATAACATCTGGCAGCGACTTTTTCGGCGGGCTGAGATGAAGAATTGAGGCCACCCCTGGAACACGCTCGAAATGATAGCCTAGGACACGACAAGGTGGAGAAAGGAAATCGTCACTGGTCCCAGGCCAGGAGAAACTAACGAACAAGATAGTTCTAACTATTAAATCTGTGAATAGTATCCTAGTGTGAGACCATTGAAATGAAATCTACTGAGCAGTGCTTTCATGTAGCAATGTTAACGATGCTGTACAAGATGTCACAGGGGCACGGGGCGAATGAATCTATTGGGCACAGATTTCCCGCACGAAAAACTCCTGCTTTAATTTCCCTGCAGTTTCAACAGAGCAGCCATTAGGGGAATGCACTGTCAAATATTACAGGTTGCAGTTAATGAGAGCAGGTTGCTCATTTCATAAGCCGCTCGCAGTTAAACTGTTGCAAGCTGGGTGTGCAACGATAAAGGCCAAGCTGTAAGTAGAAAACAGTACTACTACCACTACTCCCAATAGATTTTAGAACATAGCTGGCAGAGTCGCGCAATCAAATTCATTATACGTAAGCGTGCTCAAAATCCCGATAGTGCACGCTGATAGCGTCAGCAAATCCGACTTCGCCAGAAATTTTTTTTTCGCGCGAGCGGCCATTGTTAGCGCGGGAAAAAATTATCTATTTCGCGACAATAATGGATACAAACAGAAACTCGGCCTACTAGTCCGAAAACGAAGACAATGTTTCGACCTTTTCCCTTGGGCTAGTGTTCTTAAATGAGGCAGAAAAAGAGAAAAACAAAGGAAAAGGAGACTCGGCATCAGCGCCGTCACGATTCACTTCAACTGATATTGTTGTCCGTTTTTCGCGTCGGATTTGATGCACAATTCCACCGGCTATGTTCTAAAACAATTGGTTCATGCTTTCACCTGTGCACCATCGAGTTATGGAGCAAGTGGGAGTTTGGAGAGCACTCAAGAAGCTAGGGTTGCCCTCGGCTATCACCTCGGGCAACTCTTACGCCTCTTTTGTGCTCTCCAGACTTCCCGCGTGCTCCATAACTTGATAGTGCACGCTAAAGCATGAAGCAATTGTTAAAGATACGCTATCACTAAGAATTTGGAGACTCCTAGAAAAATCCTGTCGTGGACTGCATCATGGAGTGCACCTTTTCTACCTATTGTGATCACTGACTCTTAAGATATTTCACGTAATTATTAATAAGATGACCAAGAATTAAATGGGTAGTGCACCTTGTCAACAGCAAATGCTCTCATCTCTGCCTCTAGCGCTTCTCTCAATTCTTCTCTTGTCTGAAAGAAACACATTCAAACAACAGCAATTACAAATCAGTCACAAAACCAACCAGTTGAAGCAGATAAGAAAAGAAATTTAAATCATAGTGTTCAGAACTCACCTTGTAGTTCCAGATGAGATTAGGCATGGAATGGTCTAGATTGAACCTATGGAAAGAAATTTACGGTTCTTTAGATATTTAAAATATTTTGAAAAGATTATGTGTGAACCATTACTCAGTGTCATGGAAGTCTCATTTGTGCATCCTGAAAGGTTACATGACAGTGATACCATTCAAATATGCTTTTCTTCCCAGTGGAGAAAAAAATTTGTATTTGCAAATGCTCTCATTCTTCTGTGTTTCATAACGATGCAGCTCTCAGGAGCTTTCCTGCATTAGCAATCCTTTATCTTCTGCTAGCTTCACAATGTAAAGGAATACAACTCTGTGCCACGCAAATGTTACCTTAGAATTATTGCGACAAGAGTGCAGCTTTTTAGTGGGGTTTCATGGGTTTCAACCAATCTCCTATCTTAAGCATCCTTGTGAATTAAAAAAGGTTATCACTTCTTACTTGTAATAGAAAAGTTCCCAGTTTGCATCACTCTTTATTCTTTGCCTTCTCTTCCTTAATATTACAGGTTTCTGGTTTGTCTGCGGAGAAACGTTATATAAACATTGCACGAACGTGTAACGAAGAACAATGTTATAGAACCAGCACAAGTAACAAATTCTTGCACTCGATTATGGCAGATTGCGATTTGCAGAGAAGGGGTTGGGAAAAACAGGATGGCTATGGCTAGCTGGACATTGTTCAGGTTCTTGATGAAAAGGAGCCAGAGAGGTGAAAACGAGAAACAAGTCTTTGAGTGAACAGTCCTCTTGCTGCTCCACCGCTAGCTATGCAAGCTAAGAAGGCCTTGGTGCAAGTAGACGACATACAAGTTGCACATGGAAGTGACTTGGATTGCTACTACCTCATCTACACACTTACAGTACACGTGCCTCTCAATGAAATACTTGATAATTATATCTCAGGTAGCTATTCCCTTTTCACAGCGTGGTGGAGCCCTGACCATTAATTGACTACACATGCTATATGCAATTTTGTCACCCATACCAGTTTTAAATATTTCGAGCTTTCTGCAGCCATCTAACAGTCACTTCATTAGCTTTTTTTTCTGTCCACACTATAATAATAATTCCTTTTTGCTTTTCAACTAGGTTCTTTATATCTTATCACCAGGACGTAACCAGGCAACAATTCCTAGATATACTAACAAAACTTTTAATCTGAATCTAAATCTTACTTCTTTTGACTTCAATCCCATTTTCGTTCTCCAGTGAGTGAGCACAACATCCAGTTGCGCAAGATACTGATGTTTCTTGGGTTTAGAAGAATCCTAAAACAGCAATTTCAAACAAGAAAACATTTTATACACATAAAAACTCCCCAAGTTCTGATCCTAAGAGTGTACAAGGCACCTGTCGCTCAATAACTTCCAGCAGTACATGGCTAAGCTCAGAGCGAAAAATTGTGTTGTAAAGTAGCATAATGTTTGACTGTGATTAAGTCTTCTTTGTTTTGCTGCACGCTCATGACAAAATGAATTTAACATCTTTTTTTGGTACCTTATCAGAGCTTGGACAATGTCAGAACTCAAACCTAGATTCTCATATTGGTATAAAAACATTTCTCGTATTTACCTCTGCAAGTTTGACCTTGTCTCGGACATGCAGCTTATCTGATTCTACTTCTGGGACCTGTATTTAAAAGAATGATGGTAACATTAAATTGCAAATTTCATTCACACTTTCAAACTGTCTCAAACAAAGCAATCACCCCACAAAAATCTCCAAACACTGACAGAAACGTTATTTAAATTTATTATTCAACTGTGCTACGCAGAGTACAAATAACGCCCAAGACGAGTACAAATACCACGCGATATTCGTACTTCAGAAATATCCACGAAATTCGCCCGCACTGAAATAACAATTTGGCGTCTTGGATAATAAATCTCTTATTAGACGTTTTGTTATGTACTATCGCTGAGCAGTTTTACTCGTTATTTGTATTTTGACTCGCCCTACCGGCTCGTCCAAATACAGCACAACTTGTAAAAATACTTAGCGATACTACACAACAAAACGTCTAATACGATATATATATTACAAATATCTAAAACTAAAACTTAGTTCTTATTAACCGAGCGGGAGGTCTGTATGGGAGAATCTTGACCGAGGTCGCCAGCACAGACCGAACGCAGTGAGGTCTGTACCAGTGACCGAGGTCAAGATTCTCCCATACAGACCGACCTAGCTCGGTTAATAAGATGTTTATTATATGGCTGTGTCTTATATGCCAATTTTTTATATTCTTTGTACCTTTTTTTT